TCCACCCGACACATCGCCGTTCAAGAGCGGACGCCGGCTATGGTAATTGAATTACACGCCTCAGTGCGCCTGCGCGCGGACAACACCGCGGCGGCCCGTCAATTACCGGCGGGCGCGGCGGCCGGCTCCGGTGTCCAGCGCGTAATCAGAGGCCATCGGCGAGCCCCAGAGGCCGGCGCGAGCGCGACGGCAACAGCCACGGCCCGCGAGGACGTGCGCGTCGCCACGGGCGCGGGACCCGGAGAGTCGGGCGGCGACCCAAGGTCGGAGGGCGTGGTACCCCGCCGCGCCGCACGCCGGCGTGTGTGTGCGACGGTGTGTGTGCAGAAGCCGGGATCATTTGTACAGTCACCTGACAGCGTTCCGGCTCCTCCCAGCTGTGATTTATAGTCGACAGCCCCGGAGACGCCCGGGGGCGCAATGCTCGCCGCATGCGGTTCGCCACAGCGCCGCTGTTTCAGGCGCGATCTGCTAGGGTGTGTGTGCCCTCGGTGGACGCATGTAAAACTGGAGAAACGAATTCCCGTCTGGAAAAATGAAGACGGAGGATTCGTGGCAAAAAAACATTGAAATACGAGCCCGCTTAAGTTTTGGTGTTTCTGTTTACCTGAACTGACGTATGTTAAGCCAATTATAAAATATATACCACGTGAGAACATCGATATGACAATATTTATCGGGGAGTTCGCCAAATGAACCCCGCATGAGCGAGACGCGTCCCAACTGAATGCCTTAGTAACTTCCAGGAAGACCTCGCAAACGTTGAGCCACACTAAATCACGAACAATTCAAATATAGACCGTTTTTGTGAAGGTTGTCATTCGCTGTATTTTTCACCTTAGGCTATATAACGGGTCGAACATGGGATAGTAAGATTGTGATGCGGTATAATTATGGCACGTATGGGCATTCTGTGTCACTTTCATGCTTATGGGTAGACAGTGCACTCAATTGGTCTTCATTCTTATTGTAAGTCGCAAGCACATCGCCTTATCACATATTCCGCATTATGGGGAATCTGGCAGCATTTTTCATCCCTCACATGGCGTAATATGCACAGTTAAGGCCTTCTGAAAATAAAGAATACTGTAAGCGGCGGAGGTGTTGACAAAGAGACGAGGACACGAAATTCGCAATAGCCCGCAATGCATCTTTCTCGCTGTCGGGTGGCCGCTTCTAAAATATGTCTCGCAGTCCGCAAAGAACGACGTGGTTTACCCACCATGCAGTGGTACGCAATGTTGGGACCATTTCAATGGCAGTTCGGATAACCCGGGCAGCATCGTAACTTAAGAGGCCATTTTCAAAATAATTAACAAATTTAAGTGTTGTATATACCACTTCTCTCCATCAGCTTCTTATATCAGAAACCAACGCGAGGGCCCAGAACTGAACGGCGCAAAACTGACGTAAGCGATTACCGCCTGCCGTAACATTGCAGTATTGTAACGGTACAAACGTTGATCCTCTTTGTGAGCAAGAAAGGCCTTGCCCCTGGTTTATCGGCATGAGTTTGGAGTTTGTTATGCTGACAATAATCGGCCTTCAATACGCCAAGAGGTACTGGTGAAACAACGCACCAATCAAATAGTGGTTGAACATCAAGACTCGACGCTTGGGCCGCGCCTATGGTCACAAGTGACCACTCGAGACCATAGGCACAGGTTCCAACGCCGAGCTCGGACAAAATGAACTATGTTTGCTTGATATCGTGGTAAAGCCAGTACCTCCAGCTGCACTGATGGTCACTTAGAGTCGGTATAAGAAGTCCAAACCCAAAATAGACTTGACTCCATCGTGAAAACCGGTATTGTCACCTCTGCGTTTCGTATCGGGTCGTAGCGCAATGGACTACAGCCCTGGGATAATGAGGATACAATTGTGTAAACACGGCCTCCCGCGGCTCTCATGCCCAGGCTTAAGCTTCGGATGGTTATCGCAACGCAGAGATGACAATCAAATGGAATTTTAGGCGCGTCAACTGAAACGGTTACACAGTCGCCCCCCCCCCCCCCCCGCGCGTAGGGAGAAAAGTCCTGGCACCAGGGAAGGAAGGTGCCGTTTGAGCCTGGGAAGTAAGTAGCAGCTTTCTGCGCCATTTAACTTTAAAACGCTTTTTCGGCCAATCCATCACCCCCGGCACCTTGCGTAAAACGCGACGGGCACGTGTGCAACACATTGGTCGCATCAGCCACAACCCGTGAACCATATAGAATGGTAATACGTCGACACATGAAGACTCCAATGAGTTGCAACACTCAGTGGAAAGAGGTCTCATCTTATTAACAATGAATGCCAAAGCTTAACTCAATGAAGAAAAACAGTGAAAAAGGTACACCTTAAACGCATTAGTATCATACGTTCAAGATGAACACCAGAATAAACAACAAGGCAGTAAGGCACGATCGACACAATTGGCGGAGAGAAGTATTGTGCCGGCCTTGGCGCCCTACCCTCAGACCGCTTCCTCCAACCATAAACCACCCAGACATAAACCATTCTCCTTGATTGGAGCCTCAAATTGTTGGTCAGTTTTAGTGGTTCCGTAAGCTACTCGAGCTTCAGTAGACCTTGATCTGCCCTTTGTGCTGACTAATGCAAATTGCGCTACCACGTTCCCGGGTATTTAAATCCAAAGCTTCGTATGAATCATCGAGTCGATTCAAACACAAATTGAACGTGAACGAGCCGCGTCTTAAGCGTGGCGGATTGGCCGCAGTACCCGACTAACCAGCCCAGCTGCACCACGCCCACTCCGTGCTTCAATTCACGGTCGCCGTCCTTCGCTCGAGCGCGAGCCGCGCTCCCCAGCGCAGCCCTCGGCGCCACCTGTTTTCCTTCCCGGGTCGCAGGGGCGCGCGCGGCAGCCGAGGACGCTCGCGGCCGGGGGCGACCCCAGCCCCTCTCGGGTCGGAGGCCGGCCGCCATAATCGCTATCGGGCCCGCAATCCGCCACCCGATCAGATACAGCGTGCATTACGAGCGGCGGCAGCGGCGCGCGCGGCGGGCGAGAGCCGGCCGCCGGCCGCCGCAGGAGCCGCCGTAATGTGGATTAATGCTTTGTTTAGGACACCGCGAGATTGGAACGATTTTTCAAGCGGCAGCCTTCGGAGATCTCCAGATATTGGTGGCGGGAGTTCGTGCCATCAATCGTGTACAACCCGCCAGAAAAGGGCAATCGGGAGACACGAAACACCGCCGGAAAGCGGGATACTTCCGAGAAAAGAGTCCCGTGAAGGACAAGCGATAATCAGCAAGAACCGCAAGACCAAACGTCAAGCCCCAATCTCATCAGGACCTTCACGTCTCCCGGACCCCGCCACGCCGCTTCCCTCCGGAAACGCCGCCGCCCCGCTGGTGGTGGCGCTCTCACGGTCGGGCCGGCAGGATCCGTGACGAGATCCATCCCGCCTCCGAGCCGGGCGCACGAGGGCGCCCCGGCCGGCCGGCCGGCCGGCCAGGGCCGCAGGGGTCACGCTGGGAGGGGCAGCGCGGCCGGCCAGGGCCGCCGGGGTCACGTGCGGGTCAAGGCCGCCGCCTCACTCAGGTCAGAGCCGCCGCTGCATCGCCGCCGCGCGCCGGCACGTCAGCTCGCGCGCGGGGAGGGCTGCCGGCACGCCACGGTCGGGTCCAAGAGGGATCACTCGGACCAGCGCCCATTTCACCGCCCCTAGACGAGTCCCCAGCTTTCCATCGCGACGCGACGCATAACGGTGTCTGCGCGAAGGGAGGGGTACACACTGTGAAGCGTGCACATTGTTCGCGCAGACACGAGCGAGTTCCCAAACATGATTACGAGCTGGTAAAATGAGCGAGCGCCAACAAGACGTCACATTTTCTCACACTGCGTCCCGTTTCAAATTGGCCGTCATCAGGACGTGCGCGAGTAAAAAGTGAAACAAAAGCCCCTAATGCGTCTGACACCAATTTGGGTGATACAGCCCTGCCGCGTGTGTGTGCGGGCGCGCGGGTGTGTGTGTGCCGGTGAATAATGCTCCCAGCCGGTGCCTAACAATACACTGCCGCGCCGGGTGAGGGAGGCGGCCAAGGATCAAGGGCGCCATGACATGTCGTGCACTGAGGGGCCGCCTCACCAGCCCGGCCCGGCGCGCCCTCTGCTCCCACCGGCCGGAGCCGCCGAAACCGTCGGAGCCGCCGGAGGAGCCGGAGCCGCCGGTCGGCCGCGCTGTCGCTGTTACACCCGAGCCGTCACCATAAAGCAGCGCGATGAGTGATGGCTGATGCGCCATCCGTCATGACGCAACGCTGCGCCGCCCTCGCCGCCACGCATCTCCGCGCGTGCCTTTCGCCGGCGAGCGCTCCGAAGTCAGGAGATGACTGGCGTCGCGTCAGGCGACCATGACGCCACCGCCGGATGGCCCGTCGGCACCGACGCGAACGCGGCCGCGAGTCGGCGGCGACGACAGCCAGGAATGCGAGGAGCCTTTTGTTTCTGGCGGTGGCCGGAGGCGACACGTCGCCCTGCATGGAAATGAGGCGAGCGCAAGTCGGTCGGTCGGGTGGCCGGCCGCCCCGCCGCCGCGCCGCGTCCAGCTCAGCCTTGATGACGAAGCCGCGGCCGGACGGCGGACGCCCGGCGGCGTGCTCTCCGGCCGGTGGCCGGCGAAGGCCGCCGCTGCAACGTCCGGCCATCCATCGCCTGCGCGGACGGGCGCTGCGGCACTGGCGACACAGCGCGACCGACGGCCAGTCGCGCCCAGCAGACGCATCTCGGCCCGCGGGCGGCAGACGCTCCGCCACCACCCGATCACCTTGAGCGGCCGGACGGCTGGCGCGGCGAAAACCGCACGGCGGCGGCGGCACGCCGCAGTCGACGGCCGGCCGTCCCTCCGCCCGCAGCGCCGGTACGGCGCGTCGCGCGACACCGACAGCGTACTCGCTCCGCCGCCGCTGCCGCCGCCACCGCCAATGCCACCGCCGCCGCCACCGCCGCCGCCGCCGCCGCTCTCCGCGCCGCCAGTGCTGCCCGCGCCGCGCCGAGCGACGGACGTGGTGGGAGAGAGCGCGCGCGCCTGCCGCCCGCCGGCCATGGAAAAGTGTCGGCCGCGCGCCACCGGGTAGCCCAACAGCAGCCATGCGGTGGACCGCCGCCGCCGCCGTCCTGCTCCTCTGCAGCGCCGTGCCCTGTGAGTGCGCCGGACATGTGTCTGTGGTCCGGGGCCAGCGCCGGACGCCGCCGCCGACGGCGCGGTGGGCCCGCTGCGGTCTTGTTCGTCCCGACCGCGGTCCTCATGGACCGTGATCATCGCATGGCTGGTCCGGCTTGCGGTGATCGCGCCTGACAAGCGCGCTCGCCAGAACGGCCGCGCAAACGCCTCTGATTTACCGGCGAACCCCGATGACTGCGGCCGCTGTTCTTGTGCGGGGAACTGGCGGGGAGTTGGTTGGTAGCTGGCAGGTACTGGTTGGGAGCTGGCGAGCGCTGGTTGGGAGCTGGCAGGTACTGGTTGGGAGCTGGCAGACACTGGTTAGGAGCTGGCGGGGAGCTGGTTGGGTGCTGGTTGGGAGCTGGCGGGGCGCTGGCTGGGAGCTGGCGGGCGCTCGTTGGGAGCTGGCAGGTACTGGTTGGGAGCTGGCGGGACGCTGGTTGGGAGCTGGTGGGCGCTGGTAAGGAGCTGGCAGGTACTGGTTGGGAGCTGGCGAGACGCTGGTTGGGAGCTGGCGGGGCGCTGGTTGGGAGCTGGTTGGAAGCTGGTGGGGTGCTGGTTGGGAGCTGGTGGGGTGCTGGTCGGGAGCTGGCGGAGCGCTGGCTGGGAGTTGGCGGGCGCTGGTTGGGAGCTGGCAGGTACTGGTTGGGAGCTGGCGGGACGCTGGTTGGGAGTTGGCGGGACGCTGGTTGGGAGCTGGCGGGACGCTGGTTGGGAGCTGGCAGGTACTGGTTGGGAGCTGGCGGGACGCTGGTTGAGAGCTGGCGGGGCACTGGTTGGGAGCTGGCGGGGCACTGGTTGGGAGCTGGCGGGACGCTGGTTGGGAGCTGGCGGGGCGCTGGTTGGGAGCTGGCGAGGCATACCGTCGTGCACTGGGCGTCGGAGAATATTGTAAAAGGAGCAGGCGCGACGCTTAAAAGCGCTGCTAGTAATACCAAGCGGGTTCATCGTCTGCGTGACGTGCAGACTGCATGATCACGGCTCTAAAACCCGACCCTGCAGTGGTTACCGAGGTACGTGCACGGCGGTCGACGGCGATGAGTGCTGAGAGTATGCAGATTGCATGGAACTGCACCAGGGCAGGGTCAGTGGCAGCCGACGGATGGGGCTCATGCGACAGGGTGGCCGGGCAATTATGGTAGGGCAGGCAGCTCAATGGGACCAATTCAAGCCAATGGTTTACGACGAGTTTAACGGCACAGTATATCGCGATCTTATCTGGCCGTCATCATCAGAGGTCTTTGCAGTCGCGACCTCCTCCCGCTCGATTACTGTGAGCGTAATAAGCCCGTACCTAAGCAGTCCTCAGACTGTTCATATTCACCATTTAGAAAACCAGCAGTTTACACAAATTCCAAGTTGGTTTGATTAAAACACGCCAAACACCCTATACCTGATCCACTGAAGCGCGAATGCGGTTAATGAATGTCTCCATCTAGGAAAACTCACGCAAACAATGGACCCGCCAGCACCCTTGGGAGCACCCGCAGCTCGTAAACTACTTAATGCCACCGGCACAAACACCTCGACACAGGCCCCCGCCGCCCGGCAAATCCATCACCACCCGGGACGCCGCAGCTGGCCAGCTGTGGCGGCAGTCACTAGCGGTGCTGAAGCTCGGCCGTGACTGCGCCGCTCAGTGGGTCGCGGAGCAGCCGGAGGGTCTGGGTCTGGGTCTGGGTCTGGGTCTGGGTCTGGGTATGGGTATGGGCCTGGGCCTGGGCCTGGGTCTGGGCCGGGGTCTGGGCCTGGGCCTGGGCCTGGTTCTGGTTCTGGTTTTGGTTCTGGTTCTGGGTCTGGGTCTGGGTCTGGGTCTGGGCCTGGGTCTGGGTCTGAGTCCGGATCTGGGTCTGAGTCTGAGTCTGAGTCTGGGTCTGGGTCTGGGTCTGGGTCTGGGTCTGAGTCTGGATCTGACCCGGTGTAACCCTCCATCCAGTAATCTCCTGGTGTGATGGCGACCCGATGAAAGGACTTGATGATCGCTTGGTCGGCTCTGCTCAGTGGCACATAAGTGGTCCCTCGCGTGCTACATTCGGAGATGGCTCGGGGTGGATATGACGACCCGTCGTCCAAGGGCGCTGCTCCTAGTTTGACCGGTTATGTGGCGACTCTGAGAAAATCTGGTGACTCTTCGTCCGCCCGGTTCTGGGCGACGCCATGGGGATCTGAAGGCCGGCTTTAGCCCCGCTCCGAGGGGACCCGGTGACCGGCTGCGCGCGTCGGCTCCCCGCCGTCTGGCCGCCGCTGGTCCGGTCGGTCCCGTCGGCCGGGCGCTGCGCTGGGGCGCGGCGGGGGTCGGTGTCCCGCCGCGCCCGCTCGTCCCGGCCGACCGGGAAGCCGCTGGCGGCCGGCCCGGCACGTCGGCCCGCACCCGGCCGGCCGTCACTCAGCGGCGCCGGCCTGCCGACGCGGCCGTTCGTGAAGCGGCTGTCGCACGCGGCGCCGTACATTCGGTGCGCGGCGGGGGCCGCCGGCACCGCCGCCTGACCCCGCCACGTTCCGACCCGACCCGACCCGACCCGGCGCGAGCCCGAGCCGCCGCCGCCGCCCGATCCCTGACCCGGCGAGGCCGACCCGAGGTGGAGGAGTAATGAGACGATCGTGTAAGCGCCCCGCCGTCCAATGGCCGGATGGTCAGCTGAAAGCAGCCCATCCGGCACACCACACCAACTATCGAATGACAGCTGCCCGGTCAGGCCACTCAACCGACCCCACCTGCTCCTGCGCTACCCCGGTCTGTCGTGTCCCATCGTCACCTGCTCAGACCGACTCACGCTCTTCGACCCTCTGGCTGCCCTGCCCGGGCAGGTCGTCGTGCACCTCGCCTCCGCTCGGCAGCGACCACCGCCGTGCGCACGACGCCGGCCCGGCCAGTTTTTCGGCGCTGTGCGGTACCGGCCGGCGCATGATGGCATGCGCGGCGCGTTGCATCAGCGGCCCGCGCGGCGGCTGTCGCAGGCTGTCGTCCGGTCGCCGCGCCCCCGTCAGTCCGTCAGGGGGGCCGGCAGGGCCGACACCGCCGCCTGTCAGCCGTGCCGACGGCGGCCAGTGCCGCCACGCCGCCTGGCGCCGCCAGGCAAAAAGCACGCCGCCCGCCGCCCGCCGCCCGTCGCCGCCGCCGAGCCCGGCCGGGAAATAACAGTGGTTGTGTCGGCCAAGCGTATGGCCGGCCAGCGCTGCTGCGCGCCGGTCCGCTCGTGCACCGCGGTCGGGGGATGCACGACCCGCGCTCGCACGCCGCCGCGTAAATACACATTACGCCTCGGCGGCGGCGGCGGACGAGTCGCTCCATGCCGGCCGCCGGCGACGTGCGCTATCCGCGCCGGGACGCGGCGCAGCAGGCTCGCGTGCGGTGCGGCGGAAACTCCGCCGCACACGGACCGCGAGCGGCGTGACTCGGCCTGCGCTGCGTCTCGTTCTTTGCCGGGCACGCACGCCCGTCTCCTCCCAGAAATTTAGATAAGCTCGGCCGGCATCACGAGCCCGCGGGTCGATCGCCGCGCACCGGCCGCGGCCGCGCCCTGCACTAATCGGCTCGTGATTTGGAGGAGGGCGGCGCGGCGCGCCCCTCGCCGCCGCCGCCGCCGCCGCCGCCGACCCGGCGTGTGACCGCCCCAACTGGGTCAGGGAGGAGGCCCGCGCGCGGGGCAACATTAGCGAACGTGGAAGCGGCCGGCGCGGCGCGACCTTGCGCTCCGACGGGCCTCCCCAGTGTAATGAAGGCCGCGCTTGTGCCGCTGACAGCCGATCGACGCGGAAACTGCGGCGGTGCTCCATGGGCGGCGCGTGAGAGGGCTGATTTGGCGGAGGGCCTGGGAGCCAGCCCGCGGCGAGCGGCGTAGGACGCAGCGCAGGCATCGATCGTCATAGCCATGCGGCGTGAATTAATACGCAGGCCAGTGCCTCAAGATCTGGCCATGAATATTCAGTGCGTGTTTTAGCGATGCTTATGCAGGTGTCATAAGCAGTGACTGTCGGAGATGATATCTGGCGCTTGATTAATAATTAATACGTAGAATTCCGTGCATACTCCGGGGAAGCAAGGAGAACTTCACGGAACACATAACTGCATTGCATGAGACAGCACAAAAAGTGAAGAGTCATGAAATGTCGACCTACTAGTGCACTTTTCATAAAATGAATGTCTCCTTATTGATTCTGACCATTGTACTTCCCACGCGCAATTCGGATTCGCTTGCCACACAAACTGGCTCCATCAATTCAGACAAGAGCCACACAAATTGAGATACACACTTAACTTGTGCTGGCACTTAACGAAAGACACAGAAATATGGCTAACAAAAAACGCTGACTGATACCGTGCAGAACGCAGTACACGACGTTGTTAGAACCTTCCAAACGGGAAAACAACGAAACAGACAACTGAAAGCATACTCTAGGGCAGCAGTCTCCACAGGCGTGTCGATATTCCATTTCCAAAATCTCCAGCAGCCCATGCTAGTTTTCGTCCCGGGACATGCGCTGGCATCACAACGGTGCGGTTGAATAAAATTGCATTACAAAAATAGCAGAATTTTATACTCAATACGGTGGACCTCACTCAAACACTGCCCATACAGCTTTTAAATAAAGTTAATGCAACACGCCCAATACAGGCGGTTTCCCCCAAGTGAGAATGCTGTTGTTTCAAAAACATTCCGCTGGTTGTAATTGGAACACCAGGCGACGGGACCTTCAAACTGCTGTAGCCATACAAGGCACAGGACAAAAGTGCAGTGTAAATGCGTATGTCCTGCATAAGAACCGTAACTGCTCCAAACGCAATACATCTGCTGAATGGCCCGACAACCCAACCAGGATGAACACGCGTCGAAGGCATGTCGCCCACAAAAAGCGGCTCCTACACAACCAGGCCTGATGTCATCGGTCTGACAAAGCGACACGTCAGGGGAGCCGCTGCCCGGACAGTTCAAAGGCGCCCGGTACGGGCCGGCGGCAACACTGTCGCCCGCCGCACAATGACGCCGATTTGACAAATGCGATGTAGCAAAAGCGGACAGTCATCGTTTGGGCTACGCGTTGTGCCTCTCACACGGCGCGCACGCGTTTGCGCCGGCCGCGGCACCGACGGCAGCAGGGCGTGCCGAACACGATGTGACGACCCCCACAACAGGCCGCCGAAGCGTGCCCGCGCCCTGCGGGAGGCGGCACCCCATCGCCCGCCGGCCAGGCCTTCGCTCCCATTCCCACGCTCCCATAAACAAGCGCGATCTTTCATTTTACAGAAAACCGCAGTGTCCGGGCCGGGCCTTGTCCCGCTGCCACCTCATCGGTCACGCTCCGGCAGACGCCGGCGGCGGCCATCATCCGTTCCTCGCTTACGCGCCGTCGCAGTCTTCGGTGCTACACGCCGCCGCCGACTCGCATTCTCTCCGATATTCGCGTGTTCTCTCATGCAGTCTCTGCGCTCTCCGCGCGGGGCCGCGCATCCTCCTGGCGCGCTCTGGCATCCACAGCTCGCAGCAGCTCCGTTCACACTCCAGCCCCGTCCGCACACGCGCCATAACACGCGTGTGTGCTCCATACTTCACGCCTGAGCCGGCCCGAGCCGACTCCAATCCATTTGCGGCACGGCGCATCGAGCGGCGATGATGCGCCGCCCGGTGCTGCCATGAATCTCCCGTCCGTAGTAAAGAGCTAAACGCAGCGGCGGGGCCACGCTTGAGCGGCGCCGGGGGCGTTGCGCACACGGCTGTAGCGGCGCGCTCACTGACCGCCGGTCGTGACCGGGCAGAGCGGCCGGTCACGCACGCTGCCGACCGACGCCCGAGGCGCCGCGCCGCCGGCCGGCCGCCGGCGGGTCGGGCGACCGGCTCGCGTGACCGGCCGGCCAGCGGCGTCGGTTTTTCTCGGCCGCCGCCGCCGCCCCGGGTGCGGCGCCGCGGCCGGCAACGAGCGCGAGGCAGCGCCGATTTACGTACCGTCACGGCGCGGCGCCCGATCACGTTGCGTGCAAATCAAGCGCGGCCCGCGCGTCGATTAATCAGATCCAAGGAAACAATTTCGGACCTCTTCATCATGAGTGTGCGCGTGACGGATTCAGCGTCGGTGCGAGCGGGGCGCGGCGTCGCCGCCGGTGCCCCGAATCAATCGCCGCCGCCGCCGCCCGGGCGGACGCCCTCGGGCCGGGCCGTGATCGACGAGACACGGACACCGCCGACGCCCCCGACTGGCGAGGCGCCGTCCGACACGCTGGACGCCTCGTGTTCCCGCGCGCCGTGCCGGCAGAGCGGGTCATCTGCGCGGGCACGCGGCGGCTGACCGCGACGGGCCAGCCGGTCACTCTCACCGCCGGCTCGCAACCCGGCGGCTCCGTGATTAATTAGAGCGCATCCGTTTAGCAATCGGCTTGATTGAGCTCTGGCGCAACGGGCCGGCGTCGGCGGCCGCGGCGCCGGTCAGCAGCGCTGTTAGCCGCTAGCCGCCGTTAGCCGCGGCTCATCGCGATTGCGCGCAGCTCAATGTCACAGCCGACGCGATGGCCTAATTCTGCCGAAGCGCTTCACAAATTAGCCGGCGCCGCAAGGCCGCGGCGGTCTTCGCGGGCGCCGCAGCCGCCAGCCAAGACTGCCGGAACACGGCGCGAGACTCGCGGACCGCGCGCCGCGAGCGGACTGCGCGCCCGCGGCAGCCCGACGGGGAGGTGTAATTCGGGGCAGACGCCGGCCCAATTATGTCGAGGCGAGTCCGCGCGGACGTCCGCAGATTCCTGCACCTCTCCAGTGAATGCGGCCGGGAGAGCGGGTCACGCTCGCAGCCCACCGCCGTGCACCGCGCGCGCGCGGCCCATCGCTGACTCACACCTCGCTCCGCTCGTGTTGCAGGCAACTCGGAGGAGGAGGAGCCGGCCGGCGAGCTATGCATTTACAGCGCCCGCTGCATCACAAACTCGCCGCGACTCATCAAGGTGCAGCACTCGCCACAGTCGCAATCCTACAGCTATTTCTACCAGGTAAGGCGCCGCGGCTGGCCGCACGCCGGCGAGAGTCGACACTCAGCATGACCCGGCGGGCTGGTGAGCCGGTCATCATACGACGGAAGCGGACAAACGGGTGACGATGACACCGTTACCAGCAGAAATGTCGCACGCCTCACGCTGATTGCCGGGGTTTCTGAGAGCGACATCAAGTCATAAAATGGGCCTTTAAGTTGGCACGGCGCCGACAGCTTCCACGAAATGCTGGCGGATTTTAGCGGGATGTCAAACACACCGAGTCCGCCTTTGTCTGTCCAAGGCACGACCCAAGCATGTCCACACTCCCGTTTACGGCCGGCGGGATGGCGGCGGCACAGAGCACCCTCTGAGCTTGTGGCATTCGTAAAAGCGATGTCTTTTGGCCGCCAAATAAATCTCACTCGATCATCACAAAACAGCGCGGAGTTGTTTTCAAGGTTAGGCGCAGGCAGACCCGTGGAGTCCGAACGTCAATCGCTCGGCGGGGCGCCCCATCGCGGCGCTGGTGTTTACATATGTCACGGCTGGAGTCGTGGAGACCAAGCGCTGCTGTTTTGAACAGGCACAACTCAATAGACGTAATTTCTTACCGTTTCGCAAGCCCGTCTTGTTTCTCGAGCCCACAATATTGTTTTTACGTCAGGTTATCTGAACAATGTCTCAATTATAGCCCCTTGACTCATTCCATAATTTATTTTTACCACAGACAGCACCGATACCAGCAACACCCCGTCAGCAGCAGCAAGTTCTAATGGACGGAAACTTGACCCATCGGGAGCAACGGTTATGTGTGTAGTTACGAGATCAAGGATATTGACATTCGCGTGTTTAAAACCATTCACACAACTGACCCCGACAACAGTGTTTCACATGACCCAATCGAGTAAGCATACAACTGCACAATCCGCACATTCCATATATGCTCGCATGAACTATTTGCTCGACCACATTTCCCAACAGTCAGCCGCCTCGGTTCGCCGGACCGCGGCAGGCGCTATGCGGCGGCAGCGATCGCGTCAACTCTCACAAGCCCAGAGCTTAGGCTCTGCACGCTGAGTGCCGGCTCATGGCCCCGAGCCGCCGCCGCCACCCGCACCACTCATGCCGCCGCTCGTCCGCAGGTGCCGCGCCGCATCCGGAAGGTGGTGCGCCGCAAGCTGGTGCGCGCCGACGCGCCCAAGCCGGCGGCCGCCACCACCACCGCCGCGCCGCCGCTCGCCGACGACGACGATGACGCCGTCGACGACGACCCGGCCGCGCTCTTCGACCACATCCAGTTGACGCCCGTCTTCGGCCGGCGGCTGAGCGCGCGCCGCAGCAACGACACCGAAGCCGCGACGACGGCGGCGCCGCCGCCGGTCGAGACGGAGGCCAGTCCGAACCGGCTGGGGGCGGGCCGGCGGCGGCGGCCGGCGCGGCGCCGCCTCCGGCCTCAGCGGCCCGCCGCCGCTGACGACAGCGACGAGTTGAGTCAGCGGGCCAACACGCTGGAGGCGGCGTCGCGCCACGGCTCGACCACGTCCGGCGAGCGCGCCTTCCGCGTGCAGCGGCTCAAGCGACGCCGCAAGATCATGGCCAAGAAGCTGGTCCGCAAGCAGTTTCTCGCCCCGAGCGAGGCGACGCCGCGGAAGAAGATCCTGAAGGTGGTGGCGGTGCGGAAGCGGCCGCGCGTCATCCCCGGCCTCTCCGAGGTCTACCACGACAACCTGATCAACAGCCTGATCTCGGAGGAGTACCCCACGCTACAGCCGTCGCCCGGCATCAAGGGCTTCCCGGGCGTCGACTATCCGATCTACCAGAGCATCCCAGAGACGACCTTCCAGTGCAGCCAGCAGCGCTACTGGGGCATGTACGCCGACACGGCCGCCCAGTGCCAGGTCAGTCAGCTGCCGAGGCGACAAGCCCAGGCTCGCGTCGCCGCGCCGCCGGCGTTCGCGGCGGGCGGTCGGGTAATCGGGTAACCTCCACGCGGCGGCGTGCGGAACTGGTAGAACTCGTGGCAGGGAGCAGGAAATTGGCGTTCCTGAGGTTTCGATCATGGCCAATTCAATTACCGAAACTATAGTATGGTACTCAATATCGTTTGACTTACAACCTTCGCTGGAGGCGCATGGGACCACCGACCTTGGCGAAGGAAATGACATAATTTACCTTAGTCAAATACAGGCCATATGTGCTCGGTTTGATTGATAGCGGGGACGAAATCCAAACTACAATGGAATAATCTCACCTCTATCTGGCCGAGATGTGTAGCTCCACCGATTAACGACTGGTGTACCGAGAAAGATTGGGGAGGATAAAGGGTATTTTAGGCTCATTCTTTACACGCAAGGCCATAGGCATAATGCAGCATTTCCAGGCTGCTTGTGGAGACGCCTCCCACGCACACCCCGGCGACGGCTCCTCCGGACCCCGTGCAAAACATCCCCCCACCGCACAGATCGCCCCCCCCCCCCCTCCCAGCGCGCAACGTCACGCTCTTCCGGGCCTGTCCACGCTGCCGTGAAGGGCGCACCTCGGTCTGTTTCACGGCCGCTGCGGCGGCCTGGCGGTTACAAATGGCCCGTCGCCGGACAGACACCGGCACCGTCACCTGACCGATGACCTCTGGCTCTCGCATGCCGCCGGTGAAACCGGGCACTGCATGACGCCGGCCAGCCCGCTCCTGCACTCCTGCCCCCCCCCCCCCCCCTCCCCCTCCTTCGAGCTCCAGCCGCCCGCAGTATTGACAAACGTGTGACAGCGCCGGCCCGGGCGCCGCTTTCGTGCCGCCGCGGTGCGCCGCGACGTCGCCGGCCACCGACACAATGACACGGCGCCGCATTCGCCGCCGCCGCGCCGCGTTCCGTCAGCGCGCGCGGCGTGCCGCCCGGCGCCGGCGACGTTTACTTTAATTCCGGTTGCGTGAACGTCCAATCAATAAAACGGCGTGCTTTCTACCATTCCGACGCACGCAGGGCGCGCCGTGGCGGCCGCGGGACGCGTTACGTCACCAGGGGCGCCGGCTTGCCTCAGCCCGTCACGGCCGCGCTTGCGACGCTTGCGACGCGTCGATCGCGGCCGGCGCAAGCCCATCATTTGAATGATTCCGGCGCCTCCAAGCCGCACTAAGTGATTCCCACCGGCGGCAATCTATCCAGCATTAGCCGCGCCGGGCAAGCGCGGCCGGCGGCGGCCGCTTTACCGCTGGACTGGGGCGCGCGGCGCGCGCCGTCGGGTCGCCGGGTCACTTTCGTGATGCCCCGGGCGGGCGGCGCGCACAGCGGACGATACCATCGCCGGTGGGGGCGCCGGGTCGGGGTCGGCGCTGGCCGCGCCCGGCTGTTCGGGCGCGCGGCCGGGCGGGCCGGGCCGGGGACTGGACGCCGGCGGAGGGAGCGGCGGGGGCGTCCCAGACGGCCGGCCAGCGGTGCTAAGCAATGGCCGGCCCTCCGCCAGACCCCTGCCAGTGCCACTTACTCCTGACACCTTCTCAGTTCGGTCCGAAGCGCGCCCCGCCCGCGGGCTCGTCCCGTCGGCCGTCACCGTCCCGCCTGTCCGCGGTAATGGAAGGCGGAGTCGACAGCCGTCGCTGCCGGCGCCCCAGCCGCCGCGTGGGCGGCGGTCCTCTCGGCGCGGCGCGGGCGGCGAGCGACAGCGCACCTGTAACGACAAGCGGCGCATCTGGCGCCGCGATCGGGGAGGCGACCTCCGCTGACCGGCGTCGACCGGACGCTGATCTCCCGCAGAGAGTGGCGGGTCGGCAGGAGCACACGCCGAGATCGACCGACGCGGCCTTCGCGACCGGGCAGGCGTCCGAGCAGCGCCGATGAAAGGCGCGGCCACTAATGGAGCGTCGCCTTCACTCGCTCGTCATGCGACTGCCCCGGACGGCTGTTTTCCGACCTTTCGGCGCGGCTGAGCGCTCCAGTCGGGAGCCGTCAGCGTCGTGACAGATTGGGCCCAATCGAAACCCACGCTTAATGGCCCGGTCAATGCTGAAGGGCGGCGCATCGGTCCGCCGCACACTTTCGAAACGGCCATTCCGCGACCGGCTGGCCGGCCCGCAGCTGACCGCTCCGGTTGTGAAAAAGGTGTTGCAAGTCGGGGTGCTTCTGAAGACCGCGCCACCCATCCATCCACCCCCGGGAGCGAACTGTTCGCGCCGCTCGGCCGCCGCAGCGGCGTTTATCGCCGCACACCAGCCGCCTCCGATCGCGCATTCACATGCAAACGAGCTCGGTCGCCGCCAGGTCGGGCCCGGAGCGGGGACACCCGACACCGCCGCCCACGCGGCGACACCTGGCGCGCGCGCGCCGGCCCGCGCCCCGGCCGCGCCGCACGCGACCGCCGGCCGGCCGGGCCGCAGCCGGCACGAGCGTCCCACTTATCTCGCCTTGCGTCAGAGGCCGCGGCTCTGGCGCCGGCCGGGGTCGCATCCTCCCCCGCAGGGCGGCGCCGGCGCCGGTGCCCGCGATCGGCGCCCGCCTCCCCCGCGCGGCGTGCCGTGCCGAGTCGCGATGCGACGCAGGCCTCGGCGATGCGACTCGGGGCTCAGTGCCGGGAAGCGAAATGCCGACGGGCTGACCGGTGGCGCAACGAGCCCGCCAGCGCGAGGGCGATAATCGTTTCGTCGTCAGCACCCAGCTCTCCGCGTACACAGATCCCAGGGGGCCGCATACCAGCGGCACTGTTCAGCAGAGCCCGCGTGCTGCACCAGCCAGGCGTCCTCCTCAGCCGCCTTGAGCACCGCCGCCGGCGGCGGCGTGCGCCAAGCTCCACCCCGGCGCTAGCCGCCGCCGCCGGTGGCGCACCGCCGGCGCACGGTCAGCACGAGCCAAGCTGGCGCCGCGTCCGTCGTCCACTCGTCGACACACGCCGCCGCCCGCCGGTGGCGTCTGCGCAGCTGCAGATGACAGCACGACGCGATGGCCGCCGCGCGCCGCCGCTGACAGCCGGCACAGGAGGCCGCACCCGTTCCGGCGCCCACGGCTCGCCGCCATGGTGAGGTGCTTCCGCGAGCACGGGCACCGTGATGGGTCCCATAACGACCGTCGTGATACCGCCTAATATCAGCACGAACGCTATCATCAGACACGTATGTGATATAATTCCACCTGGAGCATCCTTCAGCGCCAGGCTTACAGGCCTCGTGTGACAGACGCGGTGGCCGTGGACTTTACTCGGGGTCCACGGTCACCGGCACGTGGAAACGGTAGGGTGCGCACGCTCCCTCGCGGTGCCCAGCGCCTGCCGCCTGATCACTTTTTGAATTGATTTTTAATGTCGGCTCCAGCCAGGCGGTGAGGCCCGTGGAATCTCAAGCGGCGCCGATCGGCACTTATGATTCCCAGCGTCCCTCCCCGCCGGCGAGCCGGGCTTTCTAGCCCAGCTCGCGCGGCCCGCGGCGCGAGCAGCCCCCTCTTGTGCGACGAACCGGGCGCCGGTCTCCCACGGGGCGGGCGCTGGCCAGCCGCGGGCGCCAGCGAGGGCATCCGTCAGTCACGTCATTAGCCTGTCGCATTACCGGCCGCGAACGGTGTCATTTCGGCCCGTAATCGATTGCCGCCGCGACTGGAACAACCATAAACCATTTGCGCACGACGTGAATTGCGGTTACCAGCCGGCGTGGCTCGTAAGTTCGGATAACTCATATTGCCGAAGCGGCCGTGTCCGTCGGAGCAGCGAACGAGCCGGCGTACGCTGCTCGTCCTTCAATGTGCGATTGCCGGTGCCGTAAAGCTATTATCGTGATCCATGGCGGGTAAGGCCACCTGGTAACAGAGCTCAATCCCACGGCGCACGCGGGACCGAAACCGAAGCGGGGCGCGGCGCGCGGCGCTACCTTCGGCGAGATCACCAGATTACTTATACGGAACACAAAGCGTCATCCATCACGCCACGCCATGATGTTGACACCTCGCCGCTAGTTAATATCCTGTTGTATCAATAGACGCGGGGCCGTACATCAAAACCGACCCTGCTCAATCGGCGCCAAATCCGTGAGGACAGCAGTCGGCAGCGCTCGGCCGCAGCTAGAAAAAAGTCTCCCGCCACCGGCTCGGGCCGCCGCCGGAGCAAAAAGCATGCGCGATCTCGACGCTCATCGATAACGGGGGCGACATGAGCGACCAGCGCGCGCCGGCCGGACCTTGAAGCGCGCGCCCGGCCTCATCAGCGTCGGCCGACAACAATGCGGCGTCGGCCGGGGTGTCGCGGCGCTCTTGAACCCGTGCCCGCGCCGCTCACACCGTCTGATGGCCCACTGATGGCCCACACCCGGCGCCGGCCGAGGCCGCGGGCTGGCGGTGCGGTCGCCGCCGCCCTCGGGCCGGGGCCCACCACCGGCCACCACCGACCGGGGCGGACTGTCGCCGCGGCCAGCCACCGAGCCCGAGGCGACCAGCCGCGCCGGGACGGTCTGCCGGCCGCGGCGACCACAGCCGCCGGCCAGGTCGCCCGGCACCCTCGGGCCGGGGCCCACCACCGGCCACCACCGACTGGGGCGGACTGTCGCTGCGGCCAGCCACCGAGCCCGAGGCGACCAGCCGTGCCGGGACGGTCTGCCGGCCGCGGCGACCACAGCCGCCGGCCAGGTCGCCCGGCACCCTCGGGCCGGGGCCCACCACCGGCCACCACCGACTGGGGCGGACTGTCGCCGCGGCCAGCCACCGAGCCCGAGGCGACCAGCCGTGCCGGGACGGTCTGCCGGCCGCGGCGACCACGGCGACCGCCGGCCCGGTCGCCCGGCACCCTCGGGGCGGACGGAGGCGGCGCCGGAGCGGCGACACGCGAGCCGGTCAGCGCCGTCGCAGCGGAGGAGACATGAAGAGCCACGAAGGGCACCGGACCGCGGCGAGGCGGCCACGCCGACCGCGGACGCAGGCGGCGGCTGGACGTCAGGGTGGCGCGGCGGCTGGCGGCCAACCAGCCCCGGTTCACATCCCTCCCCCCGCGACAATCGTGGGACTACACGGCGCGGGCGCACGGCCTCGCGGCGCGCTTCTGCCGCCGCCGGCGGTCTCGCTTGCACGGGCCGGGCTAATCCAAGGCTGCGCACCGCGGGACCCGCTGAGACCACGCCGAAGAGGCACGGATTACGCACTAAACCTGCCGTGGCGTAACGGGTCTCAGATAGCGCACGCCCGCCGATGGCAAGCCGTCCGCTCCGCGATGCGTTCAAGGCGCCGCCCTCCCTCCCTCTCCAGCAACCCGGAGACCGCCCTCTGGCCGGCGGCCTCCAGCGCCCGGATTCCGCGCCCACTGACCTCGCCGGCGCAGAAATTCGCGGCGCGGTTTCTGCGTGCGCGACGCGTCGAGCCGCTTCTCACGGCGGTCGATCGCATTCCACTCGAGCCCAAGGACCCCACACGAGCACCGCTCTTCAGCTGTTTACGCGGCCGCCACTCGCCGCCACGAGTGTTTTTTCTGTTCGCACCGCGAGTGAGCGCCACTCCGGAACTGATCACCACGCCGCTCAGCATTGCCTCAGCAGCGCTGATCGATTCCGTCGGGCCCCGGCGGCCAGCTTGAATGTTTATCCCGACGCTGTCGCAGCACGAGCGCTTCATTTCCGTGTTTACGCGTCGCCGGACGGCGGCGCCTCGGCAGCCTTCGCGGCGCCCACCGTTCGGCTCGGCCGGCGCCCATGGGGGTCCAGCGGGTGGGGAGGGGAGGTGGCTCCCACGGTATCGCCGCTCCCTTCCGGCTGCGTAACCGCGCCGTTCCCGACACCCCGACAGCGGCCGGCGGCGTCGCCTCCGTCCCGCCGCGTCGCCGGCGAGCTGCGCCCGGCTGGCGAGTCTGAACCCGAGCCGCGAACGGCTGCGGCCCCGCGCAGCGGCCGGTGGCGCCGGTGCGCGGCCGGCGCGCCGCCGGGGCACGCGCCAGGGCGAGCGAGCCACTCCGCGCCGCGGCCCGTCCGGCGGGTGCCGTCTCGACCGCGGGCCTGCCGCTCCCACGGCCACTGATCCGACCGGGCCGGCGGGTCACGGCGCTGCTGATCCGAGCGGGGAGCGGCCACCTGACGCTGATCAACACTGACGCCGGCGGCGGATGATGACGCACGGGCGGCGGGGGACGCGTCCGAGACGGCGAGCGGCCGTCTCATCGTCTCCCAGCACGGCGGCAGCGCCCCACCCCCGTGGCGCCAGCACGGCGTGACGGAGCGCAGCGGAGACGGCGAGACCGCATATCTCCCGAGCACCGCGTTTGTGGCGACGGCAGTATCGTATCTCCCCCGGCGGCCGGCTCCGAACGCCGCCCGCGTCCCCTCGCCCCCCCCCCAACCCACTCCCCCACCCCCTGTCCAGCCACTCCCTCCCGGACGTGACCTTACGACCCCGGTGTCGGCGCGTGACCGCACCCCTCGCCGTTCCAGGTGTGGCACTACTGCGACCAGGACGGCCACAAGCACTCGTTCCTGTGCCCGAACGGCACCGTGTTCAGCCAGGTGACGTTCATCTGCGACTGGTGGTTCAACGTGGACTGCAACAACGCCGTGCAGCTGTACGTGACCAACGAGGCGCTGTCGCTGCTGCCGGCGCCGCCCGAGAAGACGTTCCCCGAGGACTTCAAGGGCCCCATCGTCGACTGGTACATCTACCAGCGGCACCAGGAGCGCGCCTACAGGAAGGTGCGTACGGGATCGGGGCGCCCTGGTAGCGATGGTGATTCGGGTCTGAGGGGCACATAACTGTTCGGCTGTGTGTGTAAATTCCGGGGTACGCTCTGAAACACAATAATGCGAATCTCCCAGCAGGGCAGAGGGGATAGTCATCCGTAGTTGTCGAAGCGTTACTTCGTCACCGATTGGTGCGCACGCGCGCCCATAGACGGATACGAATCAGACAGACAACGCCGCTCGATGAGTTAGACACGGATTTAGACTGGTTGTCCAAAGACCAAAGCAATCCATCACACATGCCTGTCTTATCCCTCTCCAACGGCGAGTTGGTCCACATGAGCTTAACGAAAGCTTTCGAAACAGCTGCCGATCACTGCGCAGCATTCCACCCTGATTCCCATCAATACGCCAAATGCTCGTGGCATAACCCGTCATGTACTCCCACATAAGCCCCACGGGCAGCACAGGTGTCTCTAACACGGTAGTCCGCTGGTACTGCCCCCCCCCCCCCCCCCAACCCTCCCCCCGTGCCGATCAGGTCTCAGCGCCAAGCATGCCGATGGCGTAAATCGTGCACCACCTGGCATAAATGGCGCGGCCATCAGCTGCCCGTCTGGCCCAATGACACGGCATCGCTGACACGTTCACGTCGCCGCCGTTGTGCAAGCTCGCATCAGATGACCGGCGCGCCGGCGGGCGCGGCAGAAGGTCCCCCGTGCCGGGCGTGATTCAGCAGGCCGACTCTGTCCGGGAGGGAGCGGGCTGTCGCCGCGCAGCGCCGGCCCTTGGCCGGGCCGCCGACGTCACCGGCGACGCCACCGGCGGCCTGTCGGGAGCCGCTGCGGGGAGGGGCACCGCGCGCCACCGGGCCCGTTCAGGGACGCCGACAGCACGGACCACGCATCCGGACAGGGCGGATGCTTCATCAGGTGATCGCCTGAAGCATGTCCATGAGCTGACTTGTGGCTTTTCAGTGACAGTGATTCGTCTACTTCTCGACACCACATTCACTGTGGGGTCAGCTGAAATAAACTGGAGGCCGCACCATCAATAGGTTCTAGTCAACCCTTCAGGTCTAGTCACAAAAGGGCAGCAAAAAATCGGGGCGAATGAAAAGCCATAAATCCCTTCGCGAACTGGCTCCTGACCAGTGATGACATGCCTATAGTGAGCAGAGAGTCCGGCGCGAAGAGCGCGTTAAGCGCAGTGGGGACGCCGCGACACCCGCTGTCTTTCGCGTCTCGCTGGCGCACCGGCTCCGCTGGCCGTGTCGGCGCCACAAGCGCGGCGCGGCCTTGGCCGGCGGTGGCCGACACAGGCGGAAGCGGGCCGGCGGCTGGCGGCCGGCGCGGCGTCCGCACCATCCGCCGACGCCGCCAGCCGATCCAATTCGACGGCGCGCGGAGCGGCCGGACGGCTTGAAAGGCGCCGCGCGCGGCCCACCGGACCGTCCGCCCGGCGCCTGCCGACACCACCGGCCGGGGCCGGCCACAATGGCGGTGCCGGCACGGCGCGCACGACGGCGGCTCGCCCCCGCCGGCGTCGGCGGACGTTACCTCACCGGCGCCGGGCTCGATAGAGCGCCGACCCCGACGCCTCGCGCGGCCCCGGCAGTACCGAGCATGGCCGCCTCGTCCGCGGGGTCCGGCCGACCGCCGCCGCTCACACGCGCTCGCGGCGCGGCGGCACCGGCCCTTTGTCGACCTCTCGCCGGCTGCAGCCATCCCATCCGTGAACAGCGGCGGAAGATGGGCGCGCGGCGCCAATCAGCGTCGCTTTCATCCGGCCGGCAGCGGCTGCAGACCGTTCTGCACGGGCCGCGCCGCGACCGCCCGCCGTTCGCGGCCTGGCCCGTGCGGCACACGGGCGCACAATCTCCATACGGCCTTCGCACTCAATCGCCGGTGCCGCGGGTCTGATTCGAGCCCGGCTGCGTGGTCGGGCGCTAACCAGCGGGCTAAGCAGCCCATCCGGGGTGGGCGACCGGCCGGCGCCGGCGGTCCTGGTCTGGCGGCACTCCCCCCTCCCCCCCCCCGCCGGCGGAGAAGGGGGGGGGGACGCGCACTGGCGGCGTGACCACCACGCCGGTTACAAGAGCTAACGGTCCCGGGTTGCCGCACTGACCCAGGTCGATTACGTCAGGCCGGCGGGCGCTCGCGGCGACAGACGAGCCGCCGCAGCCGCTGACCGCGTTGTCCTATTGCAGGAGAAGTTCCTGCGGGAGCTGGAACAGGGCCGCCAGCTGAAGGCCATCAAGTTCCTGGAGACGCACGACTTCCCGCCCTGGTTCACTGAGCGCGACCAGGCGCTCTACCTGAAGCTGAAGGCGCTCGAGCGCAAGTCCAAGCATAACGAACAGCCGTCGCATCGGCCCGTCAAGAAAGAGCTGACGCAGTACGCGCCCTGGTGATCGCACCGCCATCTAGTGAGAGGGCGCGCAGACACTGATTCGCTACCCGCCGCGAGAGGCGGGACGCCCCATGTGCCACAAACATTCGCGTGATACCTTGACCGTTCTGTTACCGGGTCTGTGAAAAGTGCTGCGCGTGAGGTGAGAGTGCAGCGTCCCGACCTGACGCACCGAGCGGGTCTGTTTGTCAGCGTGCCACTGGGGGTAGTCTGAGAGCCGACGCTGAGCGGCGCGGTCCAAACGCCGCATTTCAACGGGAAGTTGAAAGACTTCGGAAGGAAAGATAGCCTATGCTGGTTAGATCAAATATTTCCAGACACTGCCTGGTGAGAGGAATTGTTGCTGACGTTAGCTTAGAATATACCACAAAATCTGCATTATCAGAAATATATATTATTCCCGACCCAGTCGCCTGGTTTGCTCCCGCTGTAGCCCAGCGCACTGTGCGACCAGCGCATTGTGCGGTAATGGGTTATGCATTCCGTCTCGGCTCCAAAATACAATTTGAGTGTGTACTGCAGCACCCAGACAAAAGACGGGGCCGTAGGGAAGATCAGTTCATCGCTGCTCGAACGTCAGAACCGTCTAACGTTAGCCGCTATGCCAACAGAACATTCCTCAGCATTTCCTCCTGCACGGTTCTATTCATAGATGCTGTTTGGCACTCAGATGAAGCTTAACGGTGCCATTGTAAGGGTGTAACGACTTGGCGATTCCGCGCCCAAACGCGCTCCCTTGGTGCATTTTGAGCACAGGAGGCATGCGTAAATGACAGCCAATGTCAAATGACGAGGTCGTAGCATACAGGCCACTGGTGATCGCAAATGGCTCATTACAAATCAGCCGCCGCGAGCTGGTTCAATACCGCGTCACGGACAGGTCGGTCAGACCGAGCTTTGTCCGTCACTCCAAGCCGCTGGTAAGCCGTCAAGCTGAGCGCGTTGTCCAACGCCAGCCAACTTCGACGCCAGCGGGCGACCCGTGAGGTGCCAGAGTCGGTCAGCTGCCAGCGCGACCTGCGGCCCGCCCAGGGAGGCCAGACCGCACCCGACCCCGGCGCCCCCGTCAGCAACCGGCCCGCCGACCGGCGCCGCCCGTCCGCCCGCCCGGCCGGGCGGGACTCACCTGAGCGGCCACGCGCAGGCGCAGGTAGGTGTTGCGTGCCCGCTCCGTCGCCTGCAGCAGCTCCGGCCGGCGTCGGGCGTTCTGGCGGCGGGCGAGACGGCCGTCAGCGACCGGGGCGGCGCGGGTCGCGGCAGACCCGACTGCACGCGCAGCGGGCTACCCGCCGTCTGACCCGAGCACGCGAGGCACCAGTGACCAGGCTTAACGCGCCAATAACCCGCCCACTCAACCACGTGCGCACGCCACGGCGCCGGCACGAAACCCATCGAGGCAACTATGCAAGCAGAGGGGACCTGGGAGCAATCAGAAATCTACCATGCACTGCAAAACGGATGCGCGTCATTCCGCGCTTCCCACAGCAGAGCATCGCGGGTCACATGCGCGAGTACGACCAACGCCACAGCGCAGACGCACACATCTGCACGTTCCTCCCGATGGGAACGGGCGTTTGGCGCCGGAAGAGGGCGAGCCACGCACCCGCTCGCTGACGGTCTCGACGGTGTGACCCTTGTGCTCGCCAGAGATGGAGCAGTGCGAACACACGGCCACGTCGTCATCCGTGCAGTAGTACTCGAGCGGGCGGCGCTCGTGTAGAGGGCAGCACTGGTCGGCCGCCGCGGCGCCACCGTCGCCAGAGCCGGCCGCCGCCGGCGTGGCCGCGCGCGGAACGTGACGCGACAGGAGCCTCGACCCCTGGTGTACCTGAGCGCAGAGCCGATGGCTGCCAGCTGATGACTCATTTTCAGCGCCAATTATGATTCAGAACGAATGCATGCATCGGACCACGCACATGGCCGCTTCTTACGACAAATCATTCGTCTAAAAACAATTCAAAAATGAGCCAGAGGTGGTTGAACCAGAGATGGTTTAGCGAGCCACTCACTTTCCCTCGGCGCTTCCAACAGGTTTCCATGCCGCTTGCACTCACTTTGTTGAAGCAGCTCTGACAAAAGCGACAGTCTTCGCATTTCGGGCAGGTCAGTGAACCGTGGTTCACATTGCACTCTTCGCATTTATCTGCGAATAGCGAGCACATCTGCTGTCCCTCCGCGGTGTCGGCGTATGTGGTGCTATTTGACCCCGCCGCCCCAGGATTTACGAGAGGTCAATAAAATGCTGGTTGAATGAGTCAACAATCGTCTTGCCCAATATCTGTGGTCAGGTGGACCAAAAACTAAGCATAACTTAACAAAAATACCACAAACTGAAATATGCACATGAAACCTGTACAATCGAATACATCCCGAGACCCAAGGACGAATCATAATTAAATCTTTAGGTTACAGCATGTCAAGTTTTGAAAAAAGCTCCAAAAACACCGCAATTTGCAGTGCAGGAAGTTTGCCCGGCGCGTCCGGGGACTGGTCGGAGTCGCCGGCCTCTTACCTTTCTCGGACACCGCCGAGTTCATCGCCTTTTCCGACACGCGCCGTGGCTTCCTCTGCGTGACGAAGCCGACAGCGTCCCTGCCAATGAAGTCTGCGTTACACTGGTCCCGCCGCCGTCGGTCGCCATGGCGACGGAGGCGACTGAAGCCGACAGTGTCCCTGCCAATGAAGTCTGCGTTACACTGGTCCCGCCGCCGTCGGTCGCCATGGCGACGGAGACGACTGAAGCGCACTTACCAGTGCTCTGGTCGTTACGGTCGGCAAGGCGGTACAATGGCCGTCAGTTTGTCCTCATGATTTAACTACCTCACAGTCTCATTACGTCATAGACTGGCCCCGACTCGACTCGATGGCAGCGATTACTTACTCATTAAGCGGTGGTCTCATGTTGATAACGAGACAGCCATTGATGAAGGCGTCTGATGGCAGCTTCTTGTCCTCCACAACTGTTAACTGGGAGCAATAAACCTCGTTACCACCATGAAGGCCTATTGCCATCGTGAGTCACGGTCTGGTTGGGGGTGTTGTAGGTAGCATCCATCCCAGCTTTCATTCAATAACACATCAATGAATTGCACCTTCCAAAAAATAGAAAAAAGCATTTGTAAAAGAAACCTACTTTGATTATCATCTTTGTAATTTATGTAATTTCAACTATGTCATGCAACTAATTATGTGAACTACCTAGAACCCCACAGTCACATATCGCACATGGAGAGCAAACAAACCCGGGCAGCCAGACGCCTGCACGACATCAGCCCAGGGCGAGCAGCAGCAGCGCTCTCCCACTGGAGCGCGTCTGGCGCGCGCGCAGACCGGGCGCCGAGCGTGCCCACCTGCTGACACTGCGGGCAGGCCAGCAGCGGGCCCTTGCTGGCCGCGCTGCGCACGCACCCCTCGCAGACGCTGTGGCCGCAGTCGAGTAGCGCCGGACACCGCTTCTTGTTCTGGGCCGTCACTGCCGGGGGCGAGGCACGGCACTCGGACATGTGCAAGAGGTAGAGCACACCACCCAGCTGAGGAGTCCAGCTATACTGAGAGCGCAATATCTGCACCAAAACACAAACTACACACAAGGATGCATATCCACAACCATAGCTCTTGTGGCAAGGGCTTGTGGCAAGGGCTTGTGGCAATGCTCACCTTTGGACATGTAACCTCTCGAGCAGGCGTGACAGGCCAGCAGCTTCGGGGGAGACATGCTGGTCTGAAAATAGTGGGTGCTATTAACTATGCAGTGCTTTGAAGTCTCTCATTGGGATGCAAGCCCCACCACTGAGGGGAACAGTTTGGCCATCAATGGACCATGCAACAACATTCTACATGAAGCATTAACACCTCTGTTGGTGACAGGCACTTGACATGAACACAAGGCATGCAGCAAATTCAAAGCTGTCTTGTCATTAAAGATGCCCAGGAAGTAATTGCACCACACATGTCTGGTGCATTCCACATCTTAACTTTATTTTGCATGTGTGCTAGTGCAGGGTCCATCACTTTAAGGCTGAGCAGTTTCTATCAGACCTCCCTCGACCCCACCACCTTCGCATGCAGGATGGCTGAAAGGTACTCATTTAAACCTTGGGACCAGCATATAGCACCCCGCAAGAACCGAGAGTGGAAGATGAGGACAATTACTTCTGCCTGGGCTCCTGGCAGGTCCCAAGACTGATGTCACGACAGAGTGCCAACTCCATTACAGCTAAAAATCCCATATGTTTTATCCTTTGATAATGGATCATATGACCTTACAGTTCTGGCGAGAAGACCTGGTGATCTGCGGGCAGTGTGCAAACCAAGTTAAATGGTAATAATACGTTATGTCATGTCATTGGGGCTTTACGACGCACTCAGCTGCCGAGGCTATATGGCGTCGCCTGCCTCTCACCGCGGCAGGAAGGGCGGGCGCCGCGGGGAATCGAACCCTGTACCCCTGGTTTCCCAGACGCGCAGTGGTTAACACAGACCCGTTAACCACTACACTACCGGCACCCTGCGGCACACCGTTAACCACTACGCTACCAGCACCCTGCGGCACACTGCCTGAATTATGAACAAAGCTATTTAATGGAAGCAGTGTCCAAAATAAGCTGAAAAATGGAATGGCTGTGAGTCATGAGCTGCATTGGATCCCAAAATTTGTTAACAGGTATATGCTTGTGCTTGAAAACAATCTGGCTATTTTCAAAGAATATGGCTCAAGCAGGTGAACAAATCTCATCCCGCTCCATTAAGTAACTTTGAGCTATAAGAGTGATTGAAGATGGTCAATGACAAAACATTTTTGAAGATACCCTTATATTGTGAGTTAGAAGGTACACAACATTTCAGGCAGGCATTTCTCTTACTGCCATCAATTGGTCATTGTAAATGTGCTATTTGCCCTTGAGAATCACTGCCTGGTTTTGTTATCAGCTATGCACGTGATGCAGCATGTGGGAGCTGCAAGCAAAAGCAAAAGCCAGCCATGAAAAATCACTGATTGCTGAAACACATGTCATTGGCACAGCTATATCCTTACAAAGCCAAAGAAAGTCAAGGTTAGTTTGTTTCCTGCCTGCTATCTCCGGGTGCATGTCTCCTGCCTGCTATCTATGGGTGCAGACTGTTATTTGTGGGAAAAATAACAAAACAAGATAATTATTATTATCACCAGGGAGGCAAAGACAGACCACCTTCCTTTATGGGGAGAGGAAATGGCAATCTTTAAGCTCACTTCTCTTAAGAGAGCATTGCCCTATGGGTAATGTTAAGCATTCAAAAATTGGGGGATGTGGCTCCCCATCCCATTGTTCCTAAACCCATGCTATCAGCAGCCTTAGCATCCCATCTACCACCTAGTCTTACCATCTACCAGGAACTGGAAGAATGACATGTACTCAAGCATCAGAGCACAATGGCTTTCCAGCTGCAGTGCAGCACTTGGGCCTTTTGCAAGCTTGTTCATAATAGCATGAGTGGATGGCAAGTGGTTCCATGGGTAATGACTGGATGTATCAGATGACTTCTGGTAGGGATGTAATTCCCTGTCCAATTGGTGGCCTTTAGGCACTCCAATTTTGAGATGAAAGCAGGGAAAGGGGAGAAACTTTTTCTAGGGTTCATTTGGGGACACATTATGCAATTTCCCCAGACCAGCCCAGCCAACTCCCCCAAAACAAAACTTCTTGGCAAAACCACACCCCCATTGATGGGGACTATTCTTTGAATGCCTAAAACATCTTACAATGACTTCACTTCTTCATGGGCATTCAGATATTTCACGGCTTTTTCCAGGGTCACGCATAATGTGCAATGATAGGGTGGTTCAGTCTCTGACAGATGGTCCCAGCCCGACGTTTCGGGATGTTGGCCGGTGAATGCGTACTCCTTTTAAAACTGTTTGTTTACCTAGGACCGCCTCCGGCAGTTAAAAACACGACACAGCTAACTTCAGATTCAAACTCCCGCGCAATATCCTAAGCCTCGTATGTAGAACGGGTAGGTGCGACTGGTGAAACACGCTCTCCAATTCCCCCCAAGAACATCAGCAAACGCACGTATTTGCGGCCCACGCTACTACGCACTCATCAAAACAAGCAAGGACGCGGCGGGAATTGACGAGTTCGTAGCGTGCAATCAGGGCGTGCAGTCATCTTTGGGTCCGTCATCTTTTGCTTTAGCCACATTTATTGACGTCATAAAACGTTTTTCCTAGCACAGCTCTTTATTTTGAAGCATTACCACTTGTGATTTCTCGTGCTTAATTAAGTGGAGTAACTCATACTGAAACGTGGGAATTATGCCGTGTACTTTCTGTTCAGATTCCATATACCACCATCCCGCAAACCGCATCATCGCATGTTTTGCGCACAAAGTGCGCAATAAGCTGCGCACGAACGAAAAAGAACGTATTGCCGGAGCCTTGCCGCATTAGCCGGTGTGAGGTCGGGATACGTTTCCGCCGTGGTGTGGGCTGCGGGTGTCGCGGGCGCGCTCTTTGCAACGGCCCGTGCATTCGTGCTTCTTATTTGTACTCCAGCGGTAAAATGTAAGTATGTTCAAGTCTTCGCTGTCTCCAGTCGAATGTAGGAGGGAATAATTGTCCAGCATTTTGTTCTTCGGCAATGCGCAATTTATGTCGCACATGGTCAAGGCGGCGCGGTCGTAAGAATAACTAGAGCTTTGGCTGATCGTTGTGTTAATTAAATGTTGTATAATATCAAGTAGACTACTCAGTACATTGTCAACATTAGTTGCGCTTTAGAAACAGATTTTTAGTCATGTATAATGTTCTCTGTGTCAATCTCTTATAAGCAAGCGTCTGCAGTATAACATGTAATGATGGGTTAATGCTTGCTAGAAAGGTGCGGTTTGGATTCCGGTTTTTTGGAATGTGAAGTTTTCCCAAAATCAAATCTACAAATTGGACAGACTGACAAAAACCTTTGGAATGCTTTGGGCAGGTGATATTGTTTTGTTGTTGCAATTTGTTGTGTATCTTAACTTATTCAAGGCAGCGCGTATAAACCCTTTGAATTGTAGGGTGGCTATTTACTGGGCTTATACATGCTCCAAAACAGAGGGCAGCCACGCATCAGGCTTATACACCATCCAAAATTGAGCATGACTATGTGTGAGGCCTATACAGTGATGCCTGCCAAAAAATCTCCAGATTCAGCAATTTATTTACTGAAATGATGAAAAGGAAGCTGTGAGTCAAAAAAGCAGGTTATATTAGCCATAAACATAAGACAGTAATCAAATCATCTTCACCTAGTCAAAGCCAATTTTCTGTGTTTCTGCATCATAGAAAATTAAACCTGAGGGTGCAGTTGCCTGGTGATAAATACATCTGGCTGTCATGTGGTAAGCAGGGTTCTAATCCCAGTTGTGGTAGGGTCCCTGAACAGTGCTGTGGTTACTATGGATGCCCTTATCCCATGGCATTTGAACTGTTGTGTAAGTGGTTGTCATAACACACCTGTCAGAAAAAAAGGCTGAACTCCCTAGTACTGGACAGCTGTGCAGTTTTCTATGTCATTGGGGACCCCTTTATTTGAGTACTGGATAGTGGTGCATCTTTCTATGTATTTCAGGGCCCCCTTTATGTGTGCTCCTTAAAGAAGAAAATTGACCAAATTTGAGGTGACTGTTATTGCTGTAGGGTTTTAGGGGATCCTTTGTTATTTTCCATTTTCTTGCCCCTTCTCTAAACTCAGTTTGCCCTTGATACTGGAATGTCATGGGGAGGAAATGAATGATTCTAGGTCCAAAGTGTCATTCAGGCGGCCATGAAGAAACCTCAAATGGGAGCACCATACATATGATATGGGAACCCAAGGCTGGCGTGATAGAAGGCTGGCTAGAGGTTATTAAGTGGGCAGGAGGCTGACTGAAATATCAGTGAAATATCAGTTTTAAGGTCCATTGCTCTGATTGGGCCCCCTAAGACAATAAGGGTATTTATGTCACTTAGGCTCTACCAATACTGTAAAGTCAGCCCAGCATTAGCCTGGGTCTGGGAACCCATTTCCTAAGCAGGGATAAGGCCAGACTCGCAATCTACATTGGTCCATGTGCCCCGAATCAATGAGGGCCCCTGTGTTAGGCGGGAGCCCACAGCGCCTAACTGGAGGAGCCCAGCGCCAAAATGTTTGTGTAATGAATGCAATGAAAGCTTGAAATATTATGTTTGAAGACAAATATTTGCAAACATGAGGCCTATCAAAACTGCATCCTGATGGGTAGCAGCAGCACTCACCCTGTGTGTGTGCTCTGTTGTCACCAAAATGCAAAAGGGATTGTTTAATTGTTTGGCCTGTGATATGTTACTTAAAAGGACCCGCTGAGTCACGCCTTTGTGATGTTCACAAGGAATTATAGGGAATCCTATATGAGGTGGTAGTGCAAAAATTGTTGCCATTTAGGATGGTGTGCAATCATTTTTTATTCACACATTTGATGTGCAGGCAGAGGACCTTTTGGATTTGGTCAGTTAAATCAGATTTAGCCAGCGGGTGAGCACCGAACACTGAAGTTATATTGAACTTCTGCAAATAGATGAGTTTTTTACCAACTTGTCAGAAGCCATAGCTGCAGTTACTAGACATCACCTTACATCCCAGCACCAGGGTACAATTTTTGATTATCCTTAAAACAGCTGTCTGAGAATGAAGCTTTGATAATTTAAAGTTTTCGGAATGCTACACCGTCGTCGTCCAAGACCAAGTTCACTCAGCAGTTTCATTGGAATGCGCTGCAGTGCACGCTGCATCCTTTCATGGTATATTAACTTGAACCTGGACAGATCACATGTAAAAGTTATTGCGCGCTGTTAGACGCGATGAAACAACACTACTGCAGTCCATACATTTGTACAATACCTTTTACCAGAAATGGAGAGCCTCATTTCAAAAAGAAAAAGTGCATTGCTCTCATATGGATCTGCTGCGCTACAAGCACAGCTTTAATTCTTTGAACATTTGCATTCACGAGGATGGGGTTGGCGCGGAGTGCGAGCGGCATTACATTGCCACATCCCATGGGAAGAACTTGCGACAGGTTTGAAAAGCCTTGAAAAAGGTTGCTGCCAGTACCAGCCCATCGCGCCTCCTTTCCAATCCTATTCTCTCGAGAGGGAATGTGATAATGAGAGATCATGTTCTTTCCAGAAAAAGGAAAAGCTATGCCAGCACTTTCTAGGCAAGGTTAATATGCAGATGCTACGTTTCGTCGTCCAAAAGGAGAAGTCCCTCGGACAGAGGATAAGCTTAGCATCAGATTGGCTAGGCCAAGACTGTCGGAGGGGTTCAAGCTTCACCGGGCATTACTTTCCGTTTCCAGAAGGTGTTCGGACTCATTTTCTGTGAGTTAGTCCGGGCGTTGAGAGGGAAGTAGCGTTGGCTTCATTTCAAGAGTTTTGATGAGTTAGACTGGGCGCACTGAGTCGATTTCCACGTGTATGTGAGCCGTCGTGTTGTTAAGCTTAGTGTTTTCTCACAACGCACTCACTTTCTGCTGCCTGTGCAGAGAGGCACGTGGAGATATCGCGCCAGTACCCGATGGCGGATGACGCGAATGAATCGCAGCTCCTTACGGTGGCACTGTGTGCAAAGTTTTCCAAGTCTATAACCACCTTTTTTATTTTTGGATTGTGAGGTGCAAACTACGTTCTATCACGTGTGAATCAGAAAAGGTTCACAATCACATAGGAAAACGATGCAGCATGCATTACAAATATCTATAATGCCGCAATGAATATTTATTTCGCAATGACGATTCCAACCATGGCACGCGTAATCTGGGACGTTTTTGAATCATTTTGACATTTGTGTCTGTGCTGGTTTCTTTCATGAAGGTGAAAAATTGCTGCTGAGCATAGTTCTTCAACCACACAACACGAATATTCCGGAGGCTGTGTCTGCGAATTCGCTCGACTGATAGACCTGATACTGTCAGGGGCGTTTTCAGTGCCGCTGGTAACCTCTGTGACGCATTTTTATGAAAATCCGAGAGATGAGGTTGTTAAATCAACTATTTGATCTGTCGGTTTGTCATGGAATGCCCCAAGACTTATTTGATATTTTGCCGTAATTTTTTAGACAACATGGTTTTTTGGATACTTTTGACAGATAGCTGGCCCATTTCAACAAGAACTCCCAGAAAACATTACTGCTGCTGATAATCATATGCAAGTATAAGTCATCACTAATTGCATGCCATCTGCAGCTTTTCTGTATAATTTACTGTGTGCAGAGAAGGATCATTTTCAAAAATGGAAAATAAAGATAATAGCGAACAGCTAGAAACTGTATGTAAAGTAACCATCTTGGGACAGTACAATACTTAAGGGTAATGGTTTGGGGCTCCATCCAGACAATCGTCCCCAGGGAGTGCTTGATCAGGACACTGCTGTCTTCTGCTGTAGGAGTCATTTATACCCTACTGCATTAATCGGGGACGAGTGTTCTGCGTTAAGGTGCTTGGTAAAATTGCTTGTGTTGGGCAACAAAATTACATTGTTTCAGTGTGTCATGACTAAGACTGATGTGGTCTTTTATTATGTGTTCTTATGCATGAATCACTGTATATTGAATATGGCCCTTCTTGTACATTGCTGCCACTTTAAGTTGTTCTTGGCCATGAAGAACACACACAGATATGCAGGTATTAGTATAAAGTATGCTTTGCTGAGGAACCTCGTTATAGTTTAATGTATTTGTAATTAAGCCATGCATAACAACACAAATACAGTGTGGTTATGTCTATTATGAGCACTTCAAGTCTGGCTCAAGCATTGTGATGATGGCAAATCACTCTGCAGCATACTAAGCCCTGGCTCACATTATTGCAGCTAGGTGGCTGTGGCAAATGGACCATGGCTAATATCATTAGTTTGATCTAGTGAATTTTTGTTTTTTTCTGGTTGATTATGTCATTTGATGTGAATGCAGATCATGTATCAAATTGAACAGTGTGCTGGTAATTGTTATTGTTATTCATTGTTCACAACTTCATGAAGTTGGATTAGTTGACCAATACTTATGATGCCCACCATGGTGCAGCATTCCAAAATTCATCGAATAGGGTGTGCAGGAGGTAAATATCAGTTCTGAATATCTGGATCTCTGACAGCCTCTGCACGCACAATTCGTTGGCTGCTGATCTATTGCCCTTTGACCCTAAATGCTGACATGTGATCTATCCAACTGATTTGTTAGCTTGATGTGCCTATCTGCTTGAATGGAATGCCATCCAGTTTGATGGTAAGTGGCTGGGTATGATCAGGGTGGGGGAGTAAAAATCAGTTCATTCTAAGGCAGGGCATGATAGCATGAAGTAAAATACCGAAATCCCTGCCACCCAAGGGGATCAAATATTGAAACGCTGTGGCACGATCCTATGCAACCCACCCACATGCGAGCTCACGCTCTGTAACCTGTTGACGGCCTCAGCTGACTGGCGTCTCCTCCGGCAGCCGCGCCACCGGCCCTGCACCATGGGCGGCTCGCGCGTGATCCGCGTCACCAACATCGCGCCGCAGGCCACGCGCGACCAGATGCAGACGCTGTTCACCTTCGTCGGCAAGGTGGAGGAGATCAAGCTGTATCCGACCATCCGAGACGTGGCCATCCCGGTGGCGTCTCGCGTCTCCTTCGTTAAGTTCTTCGACCGCGACCACGTGGGCATCGCGCAGCACCTCAACAACACAGTGTTCATCGACCGGGCTCTCATCATCGTGCCGTACGAGAAGCCGGACATCCCCGACGAGCACACCGCCATGCAGGCGCTGGTGCAGACCAACGGTGTGCTGGGCGTCACCAACGAGGAGCGCCTGCCAGCGCACATCAGCAACGTGGTCGACGGCGCCTTCTACATCACCAAGGACCCGACCTTCGCCGAGCACGACGTGCCCGAATACCCCCCGCTGCCCTGCACCCTCGAGTATGGACAGGTGGGTAGTGGGTGCGGCGAGGAGCGGCCAGGAAGGTGCAGGGTGGCGCCATGGTGCCGTTGACCAGCGAGACACAGGTTCCTGACTGTCCATCACTTCTGACTGCGTGTTGTTTGCGTGGCAAATGCATTTCTGTCGGTTTCAACGGGTTCAGTGCTGGAAAATATCGATGTTCGACCGCCGAAGTCGCCTGGTTTTGCGGTTCGTGCTCATTGCCTGTGTTTGGTGCTCTGGAACCTTCTCTTCCCCGGATCGATTGGCGTTCTCCCCGATCGATCCTCCCCCCCCCCCCCCCCCGTGTCTCCACACTGTCGGCTGTCTGACCATTTCGTGCCGTCCACAGGTGGAGGAGATACGACGCACGGTCGTCGTGGGCAACCTGGCGCCGACTGCCGACTGGCGCTCAGGTGATCGAGTGGATGTCGGCCGCGGGCGAGGTGAAGTACGTGCGCATGTGCGGCCGCGACACGGACGAGTCGCGCGCCTGCCTGGTCGAGTTCACCGAGCAGGCGTCCGTCGTGCCAGGCCATCAGGCGCTGCGGCGAGCTGATGGGAGACCGCGCCATCGTCGTCGTGCACGCCAGCCAGGCCATCGCCAAGCCGCAAATCAAGACCAACGAGATGGCGCAGCGCGAGATCGAGGAGGCGATGCGGCGCGCGCAGGAGCAGCAGAGCCTCATCTCGTCCACGATGCAGCCCGTCACCACCTACATGGACGATGCGAAGCGCAGTCGGTCGCGCTCGCGCGGCGGCCGCCGGCGCCGCTCGCGCTCGCGCGACCGGCGGCGGCACTCGCGCTCGCACAGTCGCCACCGTTCACGAAGCCACAAGCACTCGCCGTCGCGCGACCGCAAGCGCTCGCGCAGCCGCGACAAGAAGTCGCGCCGCAGCCGGTCGCGGGATCGCAGCCGGCGCCACCGCACGCGGTCTCGGTCACGTGACCGCAAGAAGGACGACAAGGATAAGAGCGGCAGCTCGCGAGACAAGGACCGCAGCAAGGACAAAGATAAGGATAAGGACAGGAGCAGGGACAAGGACAAGAGCAAGGACAAGGAGAAGGACAAGACGGAGAAATCGTCTGACAAGGCCACTTCTGAGAAGGACAAGCCGAGGGAGTCCGTCGAGAAGATGGACACCGACGCCAAAGCCGCTGACAAGGAGAGCGGTGACAAGAAGCCGGCCGACGCCGAGAACCGCACCTCGCCCGCCAAAAGCAAGCCGAAGGAGTCGTCGCGGGCTAAGTCGCGCTCACGCACGCCGGCCAAGAAACGCTCGCGCTCCCCGGCCAAGAAGCGTTCACGTTCTCCGGCCAAGAAGCGTTCGCGATCCCCGGCCAAGAAGCGTTCGCGCTCGCGCTCGGCCGACCGGCGGCGCAGCGGGCGAGGTTCGCGCTCCTCGCCGGCGCGCCGAAGGTCTCGCTCGCGCTCCCGGCGGCGCGTGGTCTCGCCACGTCGCCGGCGCTCGCGCTCACCGGCCCGCCGCCGCTCGCGCTCGCCGGCGCGCAAGCGGTCGCGTTCGCCGCGCGGCTCCGGCCGCTCGCGCTCGCGGCGCTCCGCGGACCGCGACAAGAAGCGCGCCCGCAGTCGCGACCGCAGCAGGGACCGCAAGAAGGACAAGGATCGCAAGGAGAAGGAGCCCAAGACAGAGAAGCAGGAGGCCAAGGTGTCGCGGGATTATGATGAGGAGGAGAAAGGCTTCGATGAGGATGTGAAGAAGTCCTCGTCGCGTGAGGCGTCGCCCGCGAAGGCAGCTGACGCTAAGAAGGAGGAGAAAGATCAGGGAGAGGATGATATGGATATCTCTGAGTGAACGCTGTATCCGCTGCCGTGTCCGTCATTTCAAATCGATGATTTTGCTCGGATTGGAGACAGCACTCGATTGTAGCGGTCATAGGGTGGTGCGTATTCCGCATCAGGGGAACGTCTTCACGGTCGTGTTGGACCTGTCCTTAGAGTTGGATCATTTGCAATTCCATTGTCATTTGTCAGAATGCGATGAAACGTGAGCCATTGCCACCCGACCGCTGTAACGAGTGGAATATAATAATACCTAAATTGTGGTACTTTTTTATAAACTGAGACCACCTGATGGTGTGGAAAGACGGAGTCTTTTGTGCCCATAGCCGTGGTGCAATGAAAGCAAAAACAGCGTGCGAAACTAGCGGTCATTCGTTAAAATGCAACGCCGACTCTCACAGACTCAGGTAGCTGGCGTGGGCTCCTGCAAGCGGACCCGTGGCCTGCATATGTTTGAAATTACATGGAAAACTCGCTACATGGAACTTGGAACGTCAGTTTTCGCCTGCAGCGTCGGCCGTCCGACGGGTAGGAGTAGTATAAACTGAAGGGTCTGCCGGTCTGTCGGCGTGCATAGCGCGACGCTGCGGGCTGTTGACGCCATGCTCCCGGATTTGCTTGGGTCAGTGCACAGGCGTGCGCCGGCGCTTGCGATGTTGTCACATTACGGGACAGACCAGTTGCGTCATATGTAATGCATGCATACCAGGTCACTGTGTTGGTCATGGCAGTCGCATCGCATTGTACAAACATCAATCGCACTTGATACGGTGCATCGTGCCCTCCAGGGTTGCTTGAGGGACGTGATTATGCTCAGTAGAGACTAGATAACCCATATGAAAAACGACAGCCGATTTTTGCCGTGGCGAGATTTTAATTTGTATCAAAACATTTTTGACGGCACGAGAGCAGAATAGTTTAAACCTTTGTGAAGCGGCTGGCTTAGCGGTGAACAATGTCCCTCTCCTATCCCAGCCGTAAATGCACGCGAAAAATTTGGCTTTGTCCCTCCACCACCCAATGAATGGGGACCTACACCCCTGATGCTGACGCTGACTGACTCCCAGGCCGTCCGTCCGGGCGTCCCCAGTGAAGTCCGGGTCACGCCCGGGTCACGTTTCCAGCAGCAGACGTGCGCTGGACATAGCGGCTACACCTACCAGATCGATGGGACGTGCCGGTCTGTGGAAGTCCAGGGGCACCTCGCGGCGTGCGCTCCCGAGGGATTGCCGCGCGAGAACGCCGGCTCGACACCCGTGGATTGGACGTGAGTAGCTCGAGTGCAGCCAGAGGCCGCGTTACCTGGCCATGCCCCGCAGAGACCGTGCTGCCATCAGATGCCGTGCCGCTGGAGGGAGCCGCGCCGCCAGAGGCCGCGCTATCAGCTGCTAAAGGAGGACGTGCTGCTGGAGAAGGCGCCATCATCAGAGGCCCAGCCGCCGGAGGAGGCCCAACCGTGGAGGAAACCACGCCGCCCGCAGATGCCGTGCCGCTGGAAGGGGCCGCGCCGCCAGAGGCCGCGCTGCCATCAGATGCCGTGCCGCTGGAGGGGGCCGCGCCGCCAGAGGCCGCGCTGTCAGCTGCTAAAGGAGGACGTGCTGCTGGAGAAGCCCGCGCCGTCATCGGAGGCCCAGCCGTCGGAGGAGGCCCAACCGTGGAGGAAACCACGCCGCCCGCTCGAGTCCCCCCACCCCCACTTCCTCGGTGTGAGCAGTCACGTGACGCTCTCGCCGTCAGATGAGAAGTGCCGTTACCGCCTGCTAGGTGGCAGCGCCGCTCCTGTTGCGCGAGAGGAGCCGTTGATGTGGTTTCCACGCTCACACGCACCGTGCCAGCAGGAATGAACGCAGAACGACGGGTCAGGTGGCCCCATGACCTAACCTGTTCGTGCGCCGCTCTTGACCTGGGGTCTGCCTCGCGGGAATTCCTCGCAGCCGCAGCTAGCAGCTCTGCACGTGGATTTCTAAGTGGTAGTTCCGCGCGTGTTCGACGTAGCCCCGCCGCTCAGTAAGATAGCTCAGGGCTGCGCACGCAGCTAGGTCGCTGGCAATGTTCGTCTGTATGCAGCCAGGCTGGGCCACGCCGTCGATGCTGTTTCCAGAGTCCACTTGGATGACCCCACACCAGGCGACAAGAAGGCTGGCGAGGGAGTGTCCTATGTGCAGACAGACGACGCTGATGGACCCCTTCCACGGTGTGGAGAATCAGTTGGCTTTACAGCTGCGTCATGGAAGCAAGCTGACACACCAAAGCGTGCACATGCGTACATAGTCAAGCGCAGAGATGCACGCGCAGCGAGTTTGTGCGACGTTCATACTGATCAAATCGCCAAGCCGTTTTGCATCAGTCATTTGCCCTTTTTGTTCCAGCAGTTCCCACGAACTGCCTTTTCGTTCCGTTGTGCGCTGCCGCTGTTGGGGTGATAACCGGTAAGTATAAATTGGGGAGATTGATTCATGCATTTTGAATGCATTCCTTCAACTCATGTCTGCCCCATTGATTAGTTAAGCTTTCCCGAAGCGTTATCACACCCAAATGTGTCATGAGATAAGTGCTTTGCGTCGAAGTTCTGGCATCTAACTACTGGCATCTGCCATCGCCAGGAGATTGCCTAAGTGATAAGTGGTAAACTACTGATCAGAGGTCAGTTAAACAGGGGCCAGGGGTGTAGTTTTCTGTTCAGTTGGGGGAGGCTGCAGCCCCCTCCGCCAACTGCGGGAAGAAAGTGAGTCAAGTATGGTTAGAAACCTGTTTGCTGGCATATTTTTGGGGGTAGGAGTCATTTTTCAACGTTTGACCGCCTCCCCCCCCCCCGCCCTCAACCCTTTTTGTGAAACTACGCCCCTGACTGGGACACGAATTTTCGTAGATGACCGTCATGTGTATGAAGGTCGGAAGAAGCGAGGAAACCGGAACAGCCACTGCCGGCGCGGCACCGATCTCAATACTTGTCAGCGAGCTGGCAATCGCCAGCCTGACGGTGGTGCTGCCAGCTAGCGGAAGCATTGTGAAAGGACTGGACGAAGCCGCGCCAGGTCCACATCATTCCCGCGTTTAGCATAAGCATTCGCTAATGCATGCACCGGATGTGCCAGCTACCATCGACGATGTTTTTGTTCCGTGATGATGATGATGATGATTTGAGCTTAATGACGCGTCGACCGCCATGGTCACATGGCGCCATTCGTTCTCGTTTCGCCTAAAAGATATCAGGTTGCTGACAAACGCGGCATGAGACGTTCTCGGTTGCATCTTTCGGCCTGGTTTCAGCTCGTGTCGTAAGCGCGGTACCCAACTGACCGGAGAGGTGCCTCTGACGGGGAAGGGCCCACCCCGACCTGGTGACCATTCTTCCGTGTGCCACCCGGATACCCCACCCACAACCGTTTGCACGTCCATATTCTGTGTAGATTCAATGGTGGGGTTCAGATAAACAACATTCGAACCTCTCCTTACGATAAACACAGCCCGGAGATCCAACCCAACGCCGCTGATGGACGACCAAGCCTGTTAGATGCCCAGCTTGCATACGATCCGTCGCCACACCATTTAACCATGTCGCCGGTACATCGCAGAACTAGTCAAACTAGCGCAGAATCCCCGCCCATCTGATGATAGCAAACGCCGCAAATGCGTCGCGCAACTATTCTTATGACCTTTGCTGCAGCTTTTAGTCGTTTTCAACAGAAGCGGGCAGTCGTATTCACACTATACGTCATTTAATGACCACCGCAGTCGGCGCGCCCCTGAACTCCAATAAACAACAGCAAACTTTACGTCATTTCTCTGCTGGCAGGTTTCTGATGTGCTTTGGCTTTGCTCAATTCACATGTGCTATTCTGTTTAAACAGGGCCTTAATCAAGGTCAGTGCTAGAACACATCTACCGCAATGGCAAGCCGTTCCTTATTTGTCTGTCCTGCAAAGGGCATAGTCCCATTACAATGCATAAATGAGCTAAAAGTCATGTGAAAGTCCTCTGCCTTACATGTCAACAACGCCAGGAACACAAAAGCATGCTGTTTTCTCCTTTATTTGTTGCAATGAATTCAAAACAGCAATGCTCTACCGGCGCGGGCCTCCTCCGTAGGTGTTCGCAGTGGGCTGGGTCACCTGCAGTCCCGGGATCTTGGCGAAGTCCTGCAAACACGCACACGTCGGTCGGGTCAGCGGAACCGGAGACGTGTGTGAAACCCGTCAGAAGTCAACCGGCGTCATACAGGCGAACGGCAGCAGGAATATAAACCCACGACGTCTATGCTCCGTGACACACACGTGGAGGGTAACCTGCTTCCTAGTCTTTTACAACGGTCATGGGGTCACAAGGTCAATTGCAGCAAATGCCACCTTGACATCACCGGCGTTCTTCCCTATAAATGCACATTTGGCAACTAGCCCCGTGCTTCATGGTGACACTCTCCTCACATCTGACATCCAAAGGGAAAAGGCCAATGCCATTTTGTTGTGGCGGAGTTAATTTGATTAAGTTAACGCAGCCTGTAGAACTACATCTTGTGATGTATGGTGAAATGATCCATCCAAACCTTAACATGCCTCTCGACAGATTAAATGGTGATACCAAAGCCTTTACACCCTTTGATGGCATATATACCAATCACCAACCTAAATAAGTACCCTGAACTGCTTCTTCCAGCCAGACACAATACTAAAGAAACTAAACCAAACATTTTTAATTGGACACAGCATGCAGACAAGTGCAGGAGTCTGCATCCCCCCTCCACAAACGCATGCGGGGAAGCATACCATCATGCTGAGCATCTCCTTCGTCTCGGGGTCGATGTCGATGATGTCCTTTTCGAGGGCCGACACCTCGGGCACGAAGTTGTCCCTGCGCTCGCGCTCCTCCTCCTGCAGCTTGATGGAGATTCCACGCACTGGCGCGCGCTGGATGCGCTTCATCAAATGCGTGACGAACCTGCCGCAGCCGGGTGCCGTGAGCAACAGTCGAACGTGCAACAACAAGCAACCATATAACGATACCATGCTTACCATGGGACAAGTCGTACACAGGTGCGCGCGGTGGCGCTAGAGGGGGAGAGCAGCACCCACACCTGAGCAAAATCAGGTATTCCAGCAATAGTTACAGCCTTGATGGTATGATCAGAAGCAAGAGACATCCGACCCCAAGCCTTACCACACTTAAGATTAGTAATCCGTAAGTGTAGTAAAGTTTTTAGGGCAATGCCTTGTACGTTTTTAGGGTAAGGTTTAAGGGTAATTAGTATCACCAGAGTACTGTCAGAACCTTTGTGTGAATGTTAGTTGCAATAAGCTGTAATTGGCCTGTGCAAATTGCATGACTCAATCCTTATTTTAAGCCTATACTCACAGAGCAACACCTGACCACATGGGCCTACACTGGCCTCTGAAGCTGTCAACTCCTCCAAAATGTGCATAACAATTAGCCCATCAAGTGAAGAGCTTCTCAGATCATCAATCATGAATGGTGATGACTTGGGCTTTAGGCCATGCTACCTTTGTTGAACTCTGTGACAGCATATATAGTGTTGATGCCAATGGCCATTGAGGGTTGTTTAATGTTTCCATATACTCAACACCTAACCCGCTAACAAATGCTGGCAATCATTTCATATCAACTGAGTAAGGTTCAGTTACATAAACCTAGCAGGAGCATGGCACTTTTCTAAGTGCATGCATATCAGCATATGCATTGCACTAATGTGTGACCCAAAAACTGAAAGATCAGTCCATACTGGTGCAAAGTACCAGCCTGCAGGGTGCATGAGCAGCTTGCACTGCCTGCATTTCAAGGCTCTGCAGATATACTTGCCATAAAATGATGCTTTTACATCTCCCACCCAGCTAACATACAATTATTGGTCACATCAGCAAAAAGGAAACAACAAATGATGAATCAAATATATTCTATACATCATACATGGGGTGCAGACAACCAAATAAATGTGTTAACCTGCCTGCCTACCAAACCTTAACATGCGCTCGGGTAGAAGGTCAAATTGACCCCCAAAGGATTTTCTGGGATGGCTTCCAAATGGCACAGTGTGGCCGTGCCAAATTTTGCACTGCTGTTGGCAATTGAATAAGGGATCACCTGGCATCCAAATTTAGATGTACCTTGTAAGGTCGCTGACCTTACAAGGCAAGGTCAGCAACCTTATGGCAGGTGAAAGAGGCCATGGTTTCAACAAAGGCAATTTCTACAGAATAGTTAAATCTGGCGCAACAAGTGTTAGTCAAAGCCATACATCTCTGAGATACTTTCTGAGGCAACACAATTGAATGAACAACTCACATTGACCCAAGGTCAGGTATGAAGGTTAGACCAAAGTCAAAACAAACTGTTTTATTACTCCAGGGCTTGCAGTATGGGGTAGTTTCTGGTGCTCCTTTTGAATTTATTCATAACAGGAATCACATTAAACACCTTCCATAGACTTTTTAAAGGTCAGAATAAGCCACTGACCCAGAATGACCCAGGTCAACATTTTGTTTTTAGAATATATTGGTTAGCTCAATCTTTGTCACTTATCCAACTGTAAAAAACAAGTGAACTGGTGCTGTATGATTTCTGTCAACATGACATTCAAAAGGCTTAATGAGGTCACTGACCTTAGATGGGCATGTGGCTTTTTGCTTAAACAAGTATCTAGGTTCCACAGGCCCTTTGGAGACCAACCTGGAATTTGGCCTTGCTTGACCTTATTTGACCCAAAGGTCATGACCTTGAAACCTCTACTTTAACCTGAGTGAGCTCACATACATGTCACACACTCTATGAATTTGGTGTATCTAGCTCCCTTAGTTCCTTACATCTAAGGGGGGCCAGATTGCCTTACCTACCCCACACAAGCAAAAAGTATCCAACCAGCCACTGGGGCATGTGTTAAACAATTCATACAGATGAGCCCACATAATGAACAAAGGTTATCATGACTTCAAGACCCATATGACTATCTGCTGACTGCTTAATCAACCTCAAAGGCCTCAAAACATGTCACATGTAATTCTACCACCACAAACAAAATCATTCTTACTCCAGTTGCACAGATAAATGACCTTACCCAGCAATTTTGTTGCGGAGAGGCTTGCTTGGAATGATTGCTATTTCCTCACATATTCTCTTGTTGGTGTGGAAGTCAAGCCCAAGCTTGGTATAGTACTTCTCAATGATGACCTTAGCCACCTTCTTCACGGTTTTGGTGCGCACACGGCCCTAGAACATAGAACATTGTTCACAATGTTAACAAATTTGCTGGTTAATGTTCACTGCATGGTAGATGAGTGGTAAAAGAGGGGGCCATAACAAGACATCCCAAAAATACCATCAAGATATATATGGAAATATTCTGAAAATACATACACTGTGGTTATACATGGTGTCTACCTCTCAGCACCTGAATCAAGCAAATCACCATGAGCAAACTATCCAATACAATCTTGCATTGCCATTCTCTTATGTACATACACCCACAGTATGATAGAGGCTATAACATTCAACATCATGAGACCATTTTGCCAGAGCTTTTCACAATGATACAAGCAATCCAAGAGCATGATGATTACTTTTGCATCCCATTCCTTGCTTCAACCAGCTAGACCATAAAGCCCAGTAGCTGACAGCCAAGAGTGAAACCTTCTTCTCACATATACATTTGAAAGTGACCAAAGCAACTGAAACTCCCTTACAAAAGGTGACTGCAAGAAATGAGATATCAATATGGCACATAATTTTATGATCAACAAAATATGAGTAAGTACCTACAACAGCTTTCCCAATTTCAAACAGGAATGATCACAAGATAGCACATCACAAAACCCAGGATACAAACAAACAGGATGACCAGACAGCAATATTCTTCTGAGTCAACTCCTAGGGCGGCCAGTGTTCAGGTTGACACAAATAATTTTGATCACAAACTACACAAACACCAGACAGACAAGAAAATGAAGCAGTTAGGGAGAATGCTTAACCAACATGGAGTATAAACACTCAGCTAAATTCCAGCACAATTTTTTGCTTAAACTGCTGATAAGTAGTGTACGGGTAGTACATAACTCACAATTGAACTTCCGTCACTAAAAGCAAACTCAGAACAAAAATTTAAACCTGGAGCTATATAGCATTGCATATGGCAAGATGGAGACACTGCAGGATATTGAACATCGTGCACCTAGTTTCTAAGCACACTGCACAACCACTACACCAATAGCAATCAATGATTCTGATTCATTGCCTGTGCAGGCCTTTGGACCAAACTACACCAGAAATGTTCTGTTGAAACTATCATAAGTAATATGATATACCACATCCAATTTGAATCCACACATGGAGTAAACCTGAGCCTTGAGTTTGGTACAATTGCCCCCACTTCACAATTGCTCCAAATACCCTGAGAAATTAGCATGCTACCCAGTTGATTTCATGCAAAAATGCCACCCACAATTTTAAGCAAAAATACTTCTCAACTTGGTTAGCTGCCTAGCCCACTTTACTGCAGGCATACTCCATGTTCAGCTGAATGGGCATCACCTGTGTACACATTCCGCAAAGTGGATGACCTTTTGCAGAATGGCTTTTGAGCTCACAATCTTGACACACATTTACTATCCATTTCCATATTTCCTCATCAGCTAAGACTAATTGAGCAACCCCATTAAATGGAAAAGAGGACTTCCAGGATTTAAAAGCAACAATCTTCTCAGTAATTTCAGTATACCTGCCACAAAAACTTGCCATGATAGAGTAAGGAATACCTCATTAGTTTTTCGAGCGTATATCTGAAGCGTCTTAAGCTCAATACGTCAGTAGCCCCAACAAATGCGAAAATGTTACAAAATTAACAGCTCCATTGCTATGTACATGCGCTTCCGACGCATAAGATACATTCCTTCAATCACTGGCAGTCAGCATCAGTATACACACTCACAAGCAATTCCTAATCCCACAAGAGTACACAAATGAAAACTAGCTGACCTAGACTTCATGCTTGTGGCCATCGGTGCCAGCCGTCAAATCATCACTTAAACAATAATAATACGTACCATGGTTGCTCCGGCAAGAACTCGGAAGCTAAAGGGTCGTGCAGCGTTGCCGTCGCATATTCTTCAAATGGTTTTGCATTCTGAACAGCTGTTTTAGGTTTTATTCATGTCATATTTTTTTTATTGCTTGAGCCAGTTATTTAAATTCAGAATTTATTTTCTTATTTCGTTTTAACACGATCTGCATCGAAAAACAGCAATGAAACCGAAATTCCTTTCCTCTTCTGGGTTTTTAAAGGAACTGTACGGGTTCCCTTTATTCCTTACGGCGTCTTTGAAACCTTGCACTGGGCAACGTGTGCGCGGACCCCTAAAAGCTCTTCGCGCTGCAAACACCAGCGTGTGCACTGACCGGTTCGGTTGTTCGAATTGAGGTGTTCCGCGGGAGTCCAAGACATGTCATCCCTCTTCGTGGTTATGGTCCCTGGATGTTGAGACGTCTGCTCCAATGTTGGACTGGGCCCAGGGACGTAGTTTCGTAAAATGAGTTGGGGTTGAACAGTGAATGACGAAGCCCGATCCCCAAGGTGCTAAAGAAACTTATCTTGCCCCGGATTCCATCCAACTCTTAACAAAAAGTGGGGCAGCTCGCCCCCAAGTTGAAAGCTGGGGGGGGGGGAGCTTTCCCACAGCTTGGGAGCCCTCTCCAGCTCGGAGGGCCTGTGGAGGGCCCATTCTGGCATGTTAAACACCGATTCTGATCTGTAAAGGGATTGCATAAGCATTGCAAAGTCTATCTTGACCTGTTGAGGGCTCATTCTGACCTTTTTAGGGGCCATTCTGAGCCTGGAGAGGGTCAATTGTGATCTAAAGCAGGCCCATTTTTGACTGCGGAGGGCCCATCCTGGTCCGTAGAGGCACATTCTGATCTGAAGATGGTCCATTATTGCTGGAGGGACATTCTGCCGTGTGAAAGGTTCATGCTTTACTCCAAAAACCATTTCTGGCTTGCAACGGGCTCATTATGATACGTAGAGGCCCCGTTATGAGTCGTAAAGGGTCCGTTGTCGGTTATCAGTGGCCCATTCTGGCCTGCACGCGGCTCATTCTGACCAGTGGAGAGGCTAGTTAAGGCTCATAGATGGTCCATTATTGGCTGTTCCTATTATTTTGGCCTATAGATGACCCATTCCGGCCTGTGGAGGGCCCCATTATTGACCGTAAAGTAGCCATTCCAGAGGGCCCATTCTGACATGTAGAGAATATATTATCGACCATGGAGGGTCCATGCTCGCGTGCTGTAGAAGGGCTTATTTAGGCCTGTAACAAGCCCATTTTGGCTAGTTAAAAGCACATTTGGGCCTGTCAAGGGCACATTATTATTCGTAGAGGTCCCATTCGGACCTTCGGACGCCCAATCTATCCTTTAGAGATCCTGTTATTGACTGCGGGGGGCTATTTTGTCCTGCACGTGACCCATTCTGACTCATTGGGGCCTATTTTGACCTGGAGAGAGCTCATTATTGACTTAAATGGCGCATTCCTGCTTGTAGGGGCCCACTGTCTAATGTAAGCGGGCCCGTTCTAGAATTTTTAGCTTGCCCCCTCCCCCACTTGAACATGGTTCCCGCTCCCATGGAAAAGGGCATAATATATTCAACCATTCGAGCTTCGCGTCACCACACCCTAAGCAAGGTACGTTGAGGCTGCACCAAACACAGGCCACTAGCCGGTAGGATGCGATACCACATGCCGAATGTAAAGTTAGAAAATTAATTAACGCGAACATCAGGCATCACGAACATTGCACGAGCCTCGTAAACACGCCGGCTATGCAAGTTTTCACGTCATGACGCCCAGCTCACGGAAGACTTGAGATTTCCCAAAACACAGGCGGCTGAGAACCGTTATGGTGAAATCAGTGTAGATCAAACACGGCGTTTCAGACCAATGTGAATGTAAGCATGTCTCCGCAACCGGCGTGACTACTGGGCAATGCACATGTGATAGCAGGAGTGTCGCATTTTAAAATCGGTTCGGGGGATAAGCCGATAACGTAGACCTCATTTGCGCCCAAACCGTGATTTCTTTCCGGATTTTGGCCACCTTAATTTGCGTTCCCGTTGCGGCAAAAAATGTTTCGTAGGTTCCAAAATTGTCCTGCTGCAGAGAAGCGACTTCCCATTTCAAGGGAACGTGAATCTGCATTTCGTAAAACCTTAGAGAGGGCGAAATCTAAAGGAAAAGCGCCACAGTAATTGGATCTCACTTGACAGACAAAAATGAGTGTTGTTCATCGAAGGCGGCCCGATGAGCAGAAAAATGGTTGTATGTAGCATGGGGTAACACGTACGGACGAGACCTCATGGAAACTTTGTGAACACTTTGAACACTTTGGAAACTTTGTCACCATGTACTCATATATATATATATATATATATATATATATATATATATATACAAAGTTAAACCAAACATGCAAGAGCTTCCCCACATACATGTCACTGACTGAAAGAACAGAGTCGGTAAAGACTGGTGAATGAATTTATCTCCAGGGCAGCCATCTTAAAAAAATAGCCTGGTGAACGCTTTGACGTGTTGGAAGTTGCTTAAATGAGAAAGGTCATGAATTTTGGTGTTCAGCAGTGATAAGCTGAGAATTCTCATGTAAAAATAAATCGATACTCAGCACACCAAGAGAAAATTTGGTTAAATGACGTTAAAAAACCGAACAAGGACTGTATAACTCGAAACTTGATAACTCGAACCTGTACTCATGGTTAGATTTCTTTACAAGACTAGATTAACCGCACCCGTATATTCCGTTCTTCTGGTGGATACTGCCCAGAATATACTGATTCCGTTCCTCAACACCCTTTTAGTGGTATAATTAGATGGAGGATGCACCGCTGAGCTGTACTTAAAATCGTTTCACCCGCAGTGTGATTGCTTATCCCGATCACCCAGCTGGTTGGAGCGCTCGCCTTCCGATGAACAGACCAGTGGCGGGGTGGGTTCGAGTCGCTTTAGGCGTTTGTTATTTATCTCCCACTGGGGTGGCCTGCGGGCGGTGGCAGGGGTCACCCTAACGGTCAGGTAACGTCCGAGGGCAGTTTGGACTGTGCCGAGTATTGCGGGATGTTATGCTTTTGCCGCAAAGTTTTGCCGTTTTTTACATAGAATTTTACAGTCGTGTCATGGCTCGTTGAACGAGCATTACTTAGCGGTGGTGCTCACCACAGAAATGCTTCCATCACAGAGGCTAAGACTAAATGTTGACAAAACCAATGGCCGTTCCAGTCGCACTGCATTATAATTCCGCACACTTCCTGAACACTGTGAAATGAAGACCTTGACCCAGCGACAGCAGCGATGCCCGCGAAGTTAGCGATTTATTCGGCGATTTTTACAGCGACGAGTTCCGCTTTCCCTGAAAAAATGGTTTCAAGGTCAATTGTGCCGTGAGAGCATCAAAAATGACTCTTATTTTGCAATATCATGTGGCCTTTCAGGTGAAACCCTGGGTCAAAAGACGGGGAACTCGATATCATCCAAAAATTGCCGGCCAAGTTTCAACTTGCAAATGCCAGAATATTCAACACAGAAAAAACTAGCGTCCCTCAAAAAGTCCTGACCTATCAAGGTCACTCTTCAAGGTCAAACGCGGGCTCAAATGACGGGGAACTCCATATCACCCAAAACTTACCGGTCGATCTTTAACTAACAAACATCAGAACATTCACCACAGAAAGAGCTATCGTCCGTCAAAAAGTCCTGACCACTCAAGGTCACCCTTCAAGGTCAAATACGGGCTCAAAGGAATGAATGTTCTGCTGTTTATTAGTTAAAAATCGGCCGGTAATTTTGGGTGGTACGGGGTTCTCCGTCCTTTGAGCCCGCGTTTGACTTTGAAGAATGACCTTCAGAGGCCAGGACTTTTTGACGGACGCTACATCTTTCTACAATGAATATCGTAATGCATGCAAGTTTAAAACTGGCTGACGATTTTGGGACGATATGGAGCTCCCCATCCATTGTGACCACGTTTGGCCTTGAAGGATTACCTCAAGAGGGCTCAACTTTTTTGACGGACGCTACCTCTTTCTATGATAAATGTTCTGCTGTTTGTTAAATAAAAATTGGCCGCCAATTTTTTGGTCGTATGGAGCTCCCCGTCTTCTGAGTCCGTGTTTGACCTTGAAGGGTGACCTTGAGAGGTCAGGACTTTTTGACGGACGCTAGCTCTTTCTGTGATGAATGTTCTGCTGTTTGTTAGTTAAAAATCGGCCAGTAGTTTTTGGGTGATGTGGAGTTCCCCGTGTTTTGAGCCCGCGTTTGACCTTGAAGGGTGGCCTTGAGAGGTCAGGACTTTTTGACGGAGGCTAGTTTTTTCCGTGTTGAATATTCTGGCATTTACAAGTTGAAAATCGGCCGGTAATTTTTGTGTGATATGGAGTTCCCCGTCCTTTGACCCAGCTTTTGACCTGGAAGGTCACATGATATGGGAAATTAAGGGTCATTTTTGGTGTTTCATGCCAAAATTCACATTCAAACCATTTTTGCAAGGAAATTGGAACTCGTCGCTGTAAAAATCGCTGAATAAATCGCTAACTTCACGGACATATATCAGCGTCGCTTAGTTAACAACTACTTGTGCTTGAGCGTTTGTAACTGGGCGAGAATGCATTGCTTCCCCGGTCCTGTGTATTTATTCAACAGCGTGGGCTACCGGGTAGCGCACTTAGGTCCATCTTGGTGACTTCTGAGGTCTTAAATCCTCCGCTCGGACCGCAGGAGGACCAGAAAACAACGGCAAGTAGATAAAATAGACATTTTGAAACTTGCATGGTTTCCATAGTTTGCAAAACATGATGGCCATGCATGACAACGTGATTGTTTGGCCGGTCGCATCCCCCGCTTTTCAAAACACGCAGCGTCCAGCAGCAGCCTGCGACGTCTCCTCGGCCAAACGCGCCGTTCCAGAGATGCACTGTGTATTTTATAACCAGACCACCACCGTTCTACAGCACTACACATGGTACAGACGGAGATTGGCAGACAACAGCGGCGGGCCGGTGCGAGGCCACGTTCGCCTGGGGTGCGAGGCCATGTCCGCCTGAGGGTGCGAGGCCACGTTCGCCTGAGGGTGCGAGGCCACGTTCGCCTGAGGGCGCGAGGCCACGTTCGCCTGAGGGTGCGAGGCCACGTTCGCCTGAGGGTTCGAGGCCACGTTCGCCTGAGGGCGCGAGCCTGCAGCGGGGCGCTGTCAGGCTCCGCCGCTGCCGCACAGCGAGCAGGCCGGACCTTCCAGACGGTGTCCGTGGCCTCCAGACGGCCGCAGTCACGGCCGTACAGAGCACACACCGGTCACCACGGAGCACGGGAGCGACACGGCCGCGTGGACCGAGGCAGAGCGTGCACCACCCTGAGCAGACGGCCCTCGAGCCGTGTCGGTGGGGCCAGGCTGAGCTGCCTCGGCGGGGAGGGCGGCCACGCGCGGGTGCCGCACCCCCGGACCCGTCTCCAGCGGAGCGGCCGCGGCACTCTAGGCCGCCGGAGGTGCCGCGCACACGCACACGCACAGCTGCCGGCACACGCTACAACGTGCGCGACGCAAACAAATCAGCGTCGTAAAAATAGAGTCATCTAACTACGGTCAGGCGTACAGCGTGAACCGCATAACAGGCGAGTATAAGTACTAGAGCTGGACCGGCTGGGGTGCGCAGCCGACCGCGGCCGGCGCCTGGGTGGCGGCCGGACCCGCCGGGCGGCTGCCAGGAGCGGCGCACGCCGCCAGGTCGGCCCCAGCGCCAGCCAGTGGCCGGCCCGACAATCCTACGACACAATACAATGCACTTTAAGACAGCAGCTGCGAGCGTTTGCAGCCACGCGTCACCGCGAACAAAGTTGAGCAGCGATCGCTTCGAGCGTTCGCCCGGCCAGGCGGAAGCCGGGTGCCTTAGAGGTGATCCACCAGGCTTCTGTGCTACGTGACGCTCGAGTGATCCGTTTAACGGCCGCCAAATAAATACTAAAACATCGCTGATGAACAGAATACTGTCGAAGTCCGGTGGCCAGCAAGGCCAGAGTGCGGACCTGCTACTCGAACTTAGCTGCCAACCGCCAAAAGTCCCATCCCAGAGTATTTTTCATGAGCCAGAACCACAAAGTGGTTATCCGTCCGCTCCGCAATCGTCCCCTACATCTCTGCTTCACAAAGAAACGACCCGCCGCTGAGTCAGCAGCACACCTTCATCGCCCTTGCGATCGCCAGCCTCCATCTTTTGATGCTTCCTTGGCCGGCACCCGGCCGCTACGGGCTCGCGGCCGGCCGGCTAGTCGCACTCCATGATGGCATGGATGATGTTCTCGAGGGCGACGCGCGCGTCCGAGCGCTCAAAGTCAGCCAGCACGTCCAGCGCCAGCCGAGCGTGCTGCATGCACAGCTCCAGGCCCTGCTTGACGCCGGGACCCTGTCGACGACGTGAAGCGTGACGCGTCGGCGCGCCGCCAGGCCGGCACGAGACGTCAGCGGCGCGCCGCACAACACACCGGACAGGCAGACACGCACCACCACCCACGCCAGAGGGGTGCGACAGGCTCAGCCCCTGGCGCACACCTCTAGTGACGGTCGGACGCGTGCTGCACTGACGCACACCATGACATTTGCGCGTGATGCCGGCCGGGCTACAACAGAGCCCCCCGATTTGCAACGCATGCTTTCATTGCGGCGGACGAGGCAGCGCAACAGCATGACACACGATTTCAGCAGCATGAGTTTAATAGCATGACATGACACCACGTGGCCATCGAGGAGGCGTGCAGAGCCAACGAGCGGTACGTGCGTGTCGAGCCACCGATAGGCAGCTCCGTCGGCGCCCCAGCAGTAGCACAGCACGGCTACCCATCCACAAGCGACGGTTGTCGCAATGAGCGCGCGGGAAATGGCGCGCGCAAGGACAGCACACGTGCCGACGGAAGCCCGTGGTCATACAAAGGGGACTCGCTAGCACGACCGCATGTCAAGGGGGACACGCACCATGCACGCCGCAACGGCGAATGGCAGACGTGCGACACGAGAGGACATGAGAGGGCTCGAGAGGACACGAAAGGGCTCGAGAGGACACGAGAGGATACAAGAGGACTGGAGGACAAGAGAGGACTGGAGAGGACAGAGGACAGCGGAGAGGCATGCGTCAGCAGGCACACCGCGCGGCAGCCACAGCGGCCGCAGCTCCCACCTGCATGATGGCCTGGTGCAGGTACTTGAAGTCCAGGTTGTCGATGGTGTCGCCGCACGACTGGATGTACTCGAGCAGCTCGGGGTGCTCCTGGCAGTGCAGCAGCACGGGCGCCGAGGTCAGGTCGAACTGCGTGCCCGGCGGGCAGCGGTACAGGTCCAGGAACGGCTGAAGGTCTGCGTGCGCCTGCGGGGCCCACGTGCTGACGTCAGCGGCGCCCAACACGGCCCGTCACCTCGAGCAGCAGTTGCCACCATGATGCGATGAGGTGACCTTCTTGCCATCCGTGTGTCCACGATATGCAGCGATGCGTTTTCACGAATTCATCGTATGACATGCATGGGTGCTTGAAACCAGGGACGATTTTTTCAGTTTCGCGTGTGCCACAAATGTACCACAGACGCTCAGACTAAACAAATAGGGATTGTAAGAAAAGTTTCGTAATCTGCGGGAGTTATGAGCATTACTCCAATCACATCCATTGCTCGTTGCATTTAGATTTAATGTTAAATGAATCTGAATATAAACGATCCAAAGGTTAAGCATTGTGTGTAAGCCACCATCAGATGGTTCACATGGTCGTTTGCCTACCACAACCTAAAACAAACAGCAAACGAAAATAGAAGCATGCTTGATTCATCTTGACAACAGCGCTGGCGCCATCACCAAAACACTCAGCAACAGCAGCACCCAAAACAGAACGCGACTAGCGAGGTACCGATCAATGACACATGAATCGAGGGTCCCAGTGTCCATATCACAGCCCAAACGCAGACAACTAGCCGATGCATCACAGCCGGCACACGCGCCAAAACAAAAACAACACCAGTGGCCCGTTGCTGACAAACTCGCGCACCACGTGACCCCGGCAGAGGCACGGCGCGCCAGTGACCTCCACCGCCCGCGCGGCCGGCGGCGGTCGCGGTCGAAGCACACCTGCCACGAGTAGGCGATCTGCTTGCCAAACTCGAAGCCCTTCTGCTGCATCTCCTCCGAGTGCCCGGCCAGCACGAGCGTGGCCTGGCAGCTCTTGGCCATCAGACTGCCAGCGGCCAGGTAGTTTTTGGCCGCCCACTCCTCCATCGCCATGTTCTTGGTCGGGATGGGGTTGCTCTGCGTGTCCTGCACGCCGATGAACTCGGCCTCCATGAAGTCCGAGATGGAGGTGCTGATCAGCTCCACCACCTGACATCAGCACAACCAGGCGGGTCAGGACAGGTCAGGTCAGGTCACTCAGGCGTCTCGATTCAGATCACAAATATCTGCTCGTAACTTCATGTGGACTTCTCAGATCAGGAAATCGCGTACGCATGTACGTAATACGTGTGCTCGTTATTCGCGCACGAAGGGCACAATATGACGTCCCTGCCGCTACAAGAACCGTGAGTGAGTCGTGAGTGAGTCGTGAGTGAGTCGTCTTGTGAGTCGTCTTGCTATCTGCGGAGGTTTTATCCCGATATCGCTACGCCCAGTTTGTAGCATCGATGACGTCGCCAGGCCGCGCATACGCCATAGTGACAACAGCGAATGAGTACTTGGTAGTATTCAAGGCCTTGGGTAAGCCTATCCAAGTGGATCATGTGGGGCATGCCAATGTTTATATATATATATGGATCACGACAACCAGGACGAAGACCGACCATGGCTGCACTGGAATCTGGTAGATCACAAACAACCTAGTATGGTGCACTGTGAATAATGGTATACAGGGTGTTCGCAAGAGATATTTTTTGCCTAAAGTTCTGACCATTCCAGGTGGTAGTGATACTAACCCACATCATATTTCTCAACTCGCAGTGAGTTTGATGTCAGCCTAACTTGCAAAAGACCACAGCTTTTGTAAACGATCATGATAATGGTGAGTCGGTAAGGCTCATTTCCTTCCAACCAGCCACACATGCCTAGCCTGGCGGGCGGCACCTGTCGGACCGACCTTGGAGTTCTTAAGCGCCGCCAGGCCCGTGCAGGCATTGGACAGCAGGTAATCGCCACTGAGGATGGCAATCTTGTTGCCGAACGTCATGTCCTGCAGCGTGTTGCCGTCGGGGAAGTCGGACGGCGTCAGGTTCACGACGCCCTTGTGGATCAGATGCGCTGTGTGGATCATCTCGGTGATCTCCGCCAGAGAGCGCTGGCTGCGAACCACACAGATCATCCCGGTCACAGGGACAGCGCACAACAGACCGATCGCCCACGATCCAAAGCCACGTCTGCTCCAATCAAGTGACGTCACTGGGACTGATAGAGCTCCGTGTCATTATCACGCTCCATTATACCAGCAAACAACCGTTTCAAAATGTTGAAACGATTGTTTTTTGTATATGCCAACGCACTCCTGGCGCCCAATTTTCGTGCCATATCACAAGATGACACATGTTGACACCGCTTCGTGAAAGGTGAGTCTTACGGCAACCCAAACTCACACTCTTTTGGTTTAAAGGAATTAACCTACCAACGTCATTGTCTTAAGAACATGACGAATGCTTTCATTCTAAGCACTTTCAAAAGCATGACAAGTTCCTGGTCACCTTAAATATTATCAAGAACATAAACAAGTTCCTGGTCTAGAATATCTTTCTAGCCCTAGCAGATGAAGAATGACAGGAATCACCACTTTTGAAACACTTCGTTCAGCCAACCAGGCCGCATCTCGACCAAAAATGTTGCGATCACTGGGAGCACTTTTACATCGACAGTGCTAAGTTTGAAAATCTCTCTACCTCCTAAACAGTCCTGTATTACTGCCAAAACTTTACAGAATCAATACAATATAACGCGCCAACCTCCGACAGAACAAAATAGGACATGGACCAGCACGAGATGGCGCAATGCTACATGTTCAACCCGAATGATTTTGCGGGCGGGCCTGATCCGTTTGACCAGTTCCGGGCTCTACCCATCTAGCACTGGCCATCAGCAGCGCAGTCGTCTGACCTCAGCCAAGTGAGCATGGTTCACCTGTGGGAGACGCCGGCCGGCTTATCCTGCTCATCAGCCACCTCCAGCTCCTCGGGGTTCATGTGGCCGGCCTGCCTTAGAGAGCAGCAGCACAATGAGGCCGCGCGTCTGCATGTTGTTTCTGCCATTGTAGATCAGCCGCCTGGAGGTACGGGCAGGTGTTGGTGGTCAGTGCCTGCTCCCATGCTACCAGTAGTGACACAATGATGGTAGGTGACTGCCTATGGCACTACATACTCACAATTTGTCAGGCATTGCTTGGTGGTAAGTGGCAGCATACCATGCAGTGCAAATATTTAAAATCTGTGAGCACATATTCTGCTACTCCTTGCTCCCAAATATCCTGATATGTACCTGCTACCTGCAAATCTGAGGCTATGACTACATAATCCTATCTGAGACTATGGCTACATTGCAGAAAGCTGTTGAGTATGATAAAAAAGCAGACCATTTCCAAAGCCTTGTTATTAGCATAGGTGAGTTCAAACAAATGTTTGCTCAATCCTCATAAGCTGAAACACTTGATGTCACTTATCATCAGTATAAAAAGTGATATTGGCAAATGTATTTAATAGTGTCACTCTTGTTTTAGTTGCTACTGTAAGATAAGTCAGAAAAGTGTGCATTCATCTAACATCAATTCAAGTAACATTCCAAAATTCATCTAGCAGGGTATGCAGGATATAAATATGAATTCATGTTGCCAGAATCCTGGCTCTTCAGCAGCTTTCATGCACAATTTGTTGCACCAAGTCTGTCACCCTAGCCCCCGCCCCCTCCCAGAACCCAGATATCTGACCTACCCATCCCAGTTATGAAGCCTGAGGCACTTAGATGCTGGGTTGCATACACTCAGTTTAATGCTGACTGGTCAATTTTCAGCAAGGGAAGCATCAAGCAGTGAATCCTGAGCAAGTGGTGTAACAGCATGAAAAAGTACTGCCATCCCTGCCCCAAGTGGCAGAATGCTGCAAGACTGCAACATAACACTTTTAAATTCATGTTGCATGCTTAAGCATTAGGAGTAACTACCAATGTCTTTTCACAACTTTAATGCAGGTATAAAAAGTTGAGCATGCACTTAGGGAACTAGAATTTGCTTTTGCAGGTGGTGCTCAGGTCTACCCCCTGGCCACTGATTGTCAGTTTGTACATATGTGTGCACTTCTTGGCTTACATTCTATATCATAATTCACAGGCTTGGGCCAATATAATTAAGCACAAAATGTCCTACTTTAAACCAACGATAAACATTGCAAAATATCACGCGGCAGGAGATACATTGTTCTGCCGGTGTAGGTATACATTGCCACCTAATGTTAGAAAAAATAATTGTAGACCATTCCTCATGTTTAAGGCGAGCATATCGTAAATAATCTTAAAACAGGTAGATTCATGCCCCTACCTTCAAATTTCAACAGCTACGATTGCGAGCTCCCCAGCACTGCACGCACCTCACCGCCTCAACTCCCCAGCGCCGTTTCTGCGTTGTCGTTGCATACTTACAATATTTCTGCTTATCAAGAACCATGAAAAATGTATGGGACCAAGGTAACAATAATAATGCAATGAAAAATGTTTCTTATCGCGTCTAGGTACATTTATGAAATGGACAGGCCAGAATAGTCCAGAACATAGTCTAAACTAGCCTAGCCTAGCCTAGCCTAACCTAATCTAATCTAATCTAGCCTAACCTAGCCTAACAACCTAACCTAACCTAACTGGACCTGACCTGACCTGACCTGACCTGACCTGACCTAACCCCACCCTAACCCCTTCAACCCAGTGTCCCAATGGCATCCATGTTTCATGCCATATATATGTACTGTATTAAGAAGTTTTAAAATGTTGTATTTCCATGCAAAAATGTTGTATTTCCCCACCATGCTGACCAATCTACAAGCAATATGGAAGACTGCTTGGATATGCAAGAAACACATTTTATTGAATTCTTGTTACCTTGGCCTCATACATTTTTATGGTTCTTGATGTGCAGTAATGTTGTGATCACGCAGTAATGCTCCGATCGCACATAGAAATGGCGCTGCACCAGGTCGTGGTTGCTGCGTGTTTGTGCTGGGATGTTCGCTATCCTAGTTACTTAAGTTCCAAGGTAAGAGCTCAGATGACCTGTTTTACAATTAATTACAATATGTTCTGCCTTAAAAATGATGATTGATGTACAATGCTCTTTCTTAACATGAGGTAGCAATGTATACCCTGACCACTGAATCCCCTTAATGATCAATATGAAAGACAAATACAGATGTGGAGCCTTCTGGTGAACATGTCTAAAACCTTAACATTGAGTGAGTTAATTATCAATTTGAAAGAACTCTGGCCACATTCCTTGATAAATCATTGGCAACTACACATTCTTTCACACATGATCAGCATTAGGCTAGGGAGAATCCTTGTCTGCCGAACCATAACAATTCAATACTTGTTATATGTTAATGTGCACCTCCCCCCAACAAATTATCCTTTGCCTCACTTTTCCTCAACCTCTTGTGGATATTTGACATACTTTGACATACTTTTGACACACTTTCATGACTGGGTGGTGCCCTAACCATTCAGCACAAGGTCAGACAAATTTGTGCGGTTAGGCAACTCATGGAGAAAACTTACTTGGCAGTCTTAAGCAGAGGATGGCTCGTTCCTACAAGCTTGCGCACATGTACAGCAATGTTAGAAATTTCATCACTGAGAAGGCAGCGAAGGCTCAGGTATGATGTTGGGTATCCAACAATTTTTTCGGCATCTGACACAGCCCTATTCCAATCAGGCTTTTTAGTTACTGTCTGATTTGGGTTACTTTGCTGAGTGAGCTGTTGTTCATTGACCAATGATCCCAACAGACCATCAGTATACTTGCTTGCAGAACTAGAGGTTTCTGAGACATTTGACACCAGTCGTGCCTGAGCTCGGAAACTCGCAATATTGTTTGATTTTCCTGTCAGTGCCTGAATGCCACTTAGACCTGCTCCTGTGGCGCTTGAACTACGCGGAGCTCTAAGAAACTTCGCGAGAGATGAAACATTACGCGACATCGTGTTATTTTACTGTTAAACAGCAACTACTCACAAATCCTAATCACAAACGCCACCACTACGAAGCCCACCACCACGCGACCTAACCAACTAGCTCTTCTTCGCAGTAAGGAGGATAATTCGAGGAGAAAGGCGCCACGTTCGTCGAGTTAAGACAGATGCGACGACACGTAAACAACTTTTACCGGACGCACCTGAGATCCAGGGGCGTGTGCAGTCGTGTTCCTCAAAATGATGAAAAAGTTAATTGTGGATTTTTTACCAAATTTTGGCGCTCATTTTAACCAGCTCGAATGAAACCCACAAAGAGAAACAGAACATATATCCCATAATTTGAAATCTGCATCCGCCTATATTGAATTGAGGTCACCATAGCGGTACGGGGCAGAGTGGAGGCGGGAGGGTGTGGGGGACGTTTACCGCGCTGCGTTTCACGTTTACTCGTCAAAATGTGCCAATTTTGTAATATCCATGTAATACATTTACCAGGTCTATTTTTCGTTGCTAGAAGGCCCCCACCGCTTGAAATTAGTGATATCGAAACACCCAGGGATCCAGAGGGACATGGTGTTTTATTCCACACAACACGCAACAAAATTGGACATTTTGTGCTTTTGGGTGATAACAAACAGTTGTAAGCGAGGGCAAAGGGCCCACGAACAGACCAAAAATATTTTTCACTGGTTGCGAGGGTGGTGTTTGGGAGGTTTTAAGGCTCATTACGTTGTCCAGAGACCCTGCGCTGTTTCTGGGGTCACATACGTCTACTTGCGGGGGCAATTCGGTCATTAAGAAGCCCTTTAGGTTCCCCCTGATTTATATGCATTTGCTCTGAGGGCCGTGCGCCGTTGCTGGACCCTTCCTGCTAGCCTGCCGGGGCTCTTGTCAGCCAGGGGTCTTCCATTGCTTGTCCATTCGCCTGAAAGACTGTATAGGTTATAGGCAGAGCCCCATATGTTAACCTGCCGTGGTATGCTCGGTTGTTCAGGAGCGCTTCACGTCGGTCTCGTTTAACCTACGGATACACTCTCGACATGCCCATGGGCCTTCTACATTGGTCTAGGGACTACGAACCTTCCAGCTCTTTGTCACCTGCTTAGGGCTCTACGCTCTTGTCGGTGGCTCATCTGTTAGCTTGTTTGGGCACACTCGTTCGTACACTCGTTCGTTTGGGCACACTCGTTATAGGCAGAGCCCCATATGTTAACCTGCCGTGGTATGCTCGGTTGTTCAGGAGCGCTTCACGTCGGTCTCGTTTAACCTACGGATACACTCTCGACATGCCCATGGGCCTTCTACATTGGTCTAGGGACTACGAACCTTCCAGTTCTTTGTCACCTGCTTAGGGCTCTACGCTCTTGTCGGTGGCTCATCTGTTAGCTTGTTTGGGCACACTCGTTCGTTCGCCCTCCCCCCCCCCCCCCCTCCTTCCTCCAAATAAGCCTGCTCGTGCATTCTGGATTGTTCGGGGGCCACGGGCATCAGGCTTCGGGATTTGAATGTGGTGGTGGTGTATTTGAATGAATGTGGAATTTGGAGAGCCCTGCGCTCCTGTCAGCATTGTGTGTTGGGCACCTCCTATTTGAATGGAGAGCCCTGCACGCTTGTCGGCGCCCATTTGTTCACCTTTTTGGGCACAGCGAATTATTCGGGCCATGCACATTGGGTATTGGTATTTGAATGTAGGGCCCTACGCTCCCGCCGGGGGAGGGAGGGGGAGGGGCATGCGATAGCCTGTTCCGGTACACCCGATCTTTCGGTGACCCTCCACACTGGGTCCTGGGAGCTTCTTATTTAAATGGAATGCCCTACGTTGCCCTAAGAAAAAATGACAAACGCTCTTATAATTTCGCACATAGAGAAGCATTCCGTCCTTTCCAATGCCCAGTGTGCCTTCAGGAGAAATCGCTGTACTTTAGATAATCTGGTGACTTTAGATGTGGCGGTACGGGAAGCTTTCCAGCAACGACATCATTTAACTGTGTTTTACGATGTTGAGAAAGCCTATGACACGACATGGAAGTACGGTATTCTAATGAAGCTCTACAAATACGGTGTTAAAGAACACATGAGTATGTTCCTGTCGAACTTTCTTGGAAAAGATCCTTCACAGTCCGTGTGGAGACGGTTCTGTCCGCTCCATACCGGTAAGAACATGGCGTTCCGCAGGGCATCGTTCTCAGCATTACGCTCTTTGTCATCATGGCTAATGACATAATTGAAATCCTTCCTCTACAGGTAGGGAGGTCGCTTTTTGTCGACAAACTTGCCATTTGGGCCAGCGCACGAACCAGCACAGCTTCCGAACGACAACTTCACTTTGAATAAAGAAATTGGAACAATGGAATGTGCTGAATGCCTTTCAATTTTCTGTCGCCAAAACTGCACGTGTTCATTTTTGTAGAGGGCTTGATCAGTGCCCTACCCACACCTTGTGCTATATAGGGATGAAATACCAGTTAGACAGGATGCAAAGTTCCTAGACATCACATTCGAGAGCAGGCCATCATACCGCCCACACATTAAAAAGGACATTCAAGGACTTAAATATTTTAAAAATCTTGACTCGGATGTTCTATGGGGGTGTCCGTAGAGCACTTTTACTACTATACAGGACACTTATCCGATCTAAGATTGACTATGCCTGCCAGGTGTATGACTCGGCCTCGCATCCGGTGAAGAAACCTTAGACAGAGTACACCACGACGGAATCCGAATAGCGACGGGAGCTTTCCGTACTGGCCCCGCGCACAGTATATTGGTGGATGCAAATAAACCCCCTTTACGCTCGCGACAGGAACTACTGTCCGCGAGATATGTCGTAAAAAAATGTAAGATTTCCATCCCATCCCACATCCCTGAGTATTTTTTCACCTCGTGTTGTCGGCCTTTTCACTTCTTCACATGTGAAAACTGCCCTGCCCATCACCATACGTGCCAACCAGATATTTGAGCGATGGGACATCTCAGTTGACAGTATTGCCCCAGGTCCAACACAGGGCCTTCCACCATGGCAACTTCGAACACCCCGGTGTGACTTCCATCTGTGTGGATCATCAACGACATATGCAACGGCAGACAAATACCGCGCGGAGTTTTTGTGTGGTCTTCACACGGTGTATCGGGGGTTCCGTCACATATAAACCGATGGCTCAAGGGCCAGTACGGGTGTAGGATGTGCACTCGTGTCCGGAAACAGACGAAGATGTTTTACCTTGTCTAACCATTGCTCCATTTTCACCGCAGAATTGTTCGCCATCCGTGAGAATCTACGTTCAGTGCATCACTGTGACGAATCCATGTACGTCATATTATCTGACCCTTTCACACGCGCTCGGGTGGGGGCAAAACCCACAAAGGTTTTTCCAGAATGGTTTCCGAACGGCGCGGCGTAGCCACGCCAAATTTTGCTCAGCTGTTAAAAATTAAATGGCGAATTGTTTGGTGTAAGAAATTTAGATTTACCTTGTAAGGCCACTGACCTATGGCAGGTCAAAGTTAGGCCGTGGTTTTAGCAAAGTCAATTTCTAGGGAATCGTTCAATCTGATGCAACAACGGAGTGTTTGACGAAGCTATATATATTCGAGATGTTTTATTAGGCAACACAAGCATTAAATGAGCAAATTAAGTTGACTTAAGGTCAGGTATGAGGGTCAGACCAAGGTCAAAACCAACCTGTTTTATTGCTCTAGGGCTTGCTGTATGGGGTATTTTCCGGTGCTCATTTTGAATTCATTGATAGCAGGAACCGCATCATGCATCTTCAGTTGACTTTTTAGAGGCCATAATAGGCCATTGGCCTAAGATGGACCAGGTCGACATTTTTTAAAGAGCATACTGCCAAGCGTAATCTTTGTCCCTTATTCAAATGCGAAACTCAGAGCAGTCTTGTATGATTTTGGTTACCATGACTTTCAAAAGGTAAGCAAGGTCACTGACCTTAAGTGAACTTATGACCTTTTGCTTAGAAACAGTCATCTAGGTTCTGGGGGCACTTTGGAGACCAACCTGAAATTTGACCTTGTTTGACCTTATTTGACCAGAAGGTCATGACCTAGTGGCCTCAAAACTTGACCTAAGTGAGTTCACGTACAGGTCAACAATCCCTGCAAATTTGATGTCTCCAGCCTTCTTAGTTCCCGAGATCTTAGGGGGGTCAAATTGACTCCGCCCCCACCCGAGCGAAGGGTATCTAGTCGGCCACCCGGGCGCGTGTTAAACTATCCGGTGACCTTGCAGCAAGCAAGACAGCAACACAAAATCGCTGAAGAAATAATGCACACATTGCTTGCCTTGGGACAGGATAACAAGCGTGTTGTTACAAAAAGCATCTGGGTGCTCGCTCACGCCCAGATATTTGGAAACGAACAAGCTGATTATCTAGCCAAACAAGGTGCCACCAGTCCTCGTTTAGCCTGAGAGAAGACACCAGCATCAGACCTCAGGGACGTATTTTACAGTGATCTAAAAACAGGATTGCAACGCACTTGGGATGAACTAGATGTAAGGTGTCAGAGAACACCTGTGTGCTGCTAGTGAGTGTTTGCTTAGTTTGACGAGCGCCGCTTCGAGGCTCTCGCGTTCCCCTCCTCCTGCCCCAGGCGAGGGAGAGGGGGATTAACAAAGAAGGCTCGGAGAGGCGCCGGCGCGAGGACGGATGCGCCAGTAGGACGGACTGTACGGAGGGCCTATGACGCGTATCAAATACAGAAGTGACTTGGGACGTACTCAGTGTACCAGTGAGCCGGAAGCGAGACGCCAGAACAGCAGAACTTACATAGGTACAGATACCGGGGACCGAACAAGCTCCGAGCCATTAAGCGCAGATCTGTGAATGGAGATCACCTTACTTTAAAAGCAGAACCGACGAAGCAAGACTATGTCAGTTGCGCCTGGGCCACACGTACGAGACGCACTCTTACGTTTTCTCCGGGGCAGCTCCGCCCCTTTGCCGCAGATGCGGGCACCTTTGTCCGTGGCCCACGCGCTAGCTGAGGGTGGGAACTAAGAGATTGAGCAAAACCGATATTTAAGTCTGAAGTTCATTCCCCTGGCCTGGCTGTGGGGTGATCCACCGTCGATCGATCTTCGAGCAGTTTTCGCCTTTTTCAGAGACATTAACTTAAAGCTCTTATGCTCACCGACCTTGACAATTGGC